CATTCACAGATTACACTTCAATCTTAGCTCCCATTCACAGATTACACTTCAATCTTAGCTCCCATTCACAGATTTCACTTTAATCTCAGATCCCACTCTCAAGTCTTCCACTATGATCTCAGCTCCCACTCACAGATTACACTTCAATCTCAGATCCCACACACGGATTTTACACTTCAATCTCAGATCCCAATCTAATTTCACTCTAAGATACGACTCTCCACCCACCAGAGGTTGCTTCCTCCTACTTCGAACTCTCCACACTCCCCTCCTAATCCTCACCACTTCCTTGCGAAAATCACTCACATCCACACTCTATACCTGTGACCAATCCCACCAGCGTCTCCACACCATGGCACACCACACAATCCCAGCTCGCAGGCCGAAAAATCCTCTCCAACGTCCAAGGGCCGAGTCACTCACAAGCCGCGTGAATGCCGTTCCCGCGATGATGGGAACGGCCTGGTTCCCATGTGCGACTTCATGCCCCGCCGTACTATTTCCACGCCAGACTTCACGCCGCCGCCACTGCCACACCTGTACAGTCTTTATTTATGACCACGTCAACATCCGCCGTCCGAAATCTTCTTCCGCGCACCTCCGAAGGAATCTTCCGCCGAAGACACTCTTCCGCACCTTTGCATATCTATAACAGTCACCCCCGACGCTCATAACTCACAGATCCCTGCTTCATTTGAAACGTTCTTGGGCTCGTTGAAACGAGCGCGTCGAGCTCTTTGCAACGAGCCCCTAACTAAGTCAAACCGTTAAGAATTGAAAAAGTTATGACGGTTTTACTCTTCCGCCGAAGGCGTTTGCTTATGCGCAAGCCGCCTATGTGCAGGCCGCTTATGCACAGGCGTCCTACACGCAACCCGCCTATTCGCAGTCCGCCTATGCGCAGGCGTCCTACACGCAGCGTGCCTATGCGCAGGCGTTCTACACGCAACGCCTTGTGCCGAAGGCCCCTCTATATCAGAAACTTCAGCCGCTCCTAACTCGGTGATGCCTTATCCGTTTCAAAAGTTTTTGGTCTTGTTGGAACGAACGTCGCGATTTCTTTCCAACAAGACCCTACTTGAGTCAAGGCGTCACACGTTGAAAACGTTATGAAAGTTTCACTTCTTCGCCAAAGGCCTCTTCCCGAAGGGACTTCACCAAAGGCACTTCGCCGAAGACCTTGCCCCGAAGGCCTCTTTCCGCACCTCTTGCCCCCTAACCATCACACCAACTCCTAATCTTGCAGAAACTTTCAGAAAACCCCAAGCATAATTTTGCAAGAGCTTAAATCCAAAATTTTAACTCTCATAAGGGTAAAAAGACATGCGAGCACAGTTTTGTGCTCACAATAAGAATGCACAATTCAAATACTTCACAACATACTACTATGGATGAAGGGAAACAAACCAACATATTTCTACTGTGTCCCTATACTCGAGTGGAACCTGGTCCAGATCGGTGACTTGTGATATAATCTCGATCTGTGTGAGCAGTAGCCAAAACCAACAATGCGTTTGTGAAACCTGTGGTTGCACCGTTGGCAGCATAGAGTCCGTAAGACTTCTGCAAGTTTTGTTTACCCATGCAGCTCATAATTTTGAACTAGAAATTGAATCATCGGGGCTTGAAAGAAGAAATTATCACAAACGATCAATGACTCATCATGGAAAACATGATTCAATGTTATGAACATAGTGGAAATGTTGACATTTATGGATGTTGTGGCACGTATATACATCATCCGAGTCCATATTCCAGGACGGTATATCCTCTAAATACTATCCAGGTTTCTTTCTGCGTGCTATCTCATATTGCGGCTCTCTAGCTCGAATCGTGCTGGACGTAGATGAAACGGCTCCCCGTCACACTCACTCGTCATCTGGACACCTAGATGTTCCCGAATCCACACCACATCACAACAGCAGTCAGAACTGGATATCCATGTCGTTTTCTTGGCGTTGAATGCAAGAGACACTGTGTGTCTCTTGCCGTGCTTTACTGGAGTGACTGGAACAGATTCTGCAAGCCATGAACACAGGGCCATGCAGTTAGATGTCGTACATGTTCTTTCGAGACTGCCTGAATGTAAGTCCATGGGGATTCCATGTCCATACCATTTCGTGCATCAACTCTAAACGAAACATAAGAAGCATTTACATGAGTGAGTGAATTTCAGAATCCAACGTTTCCTACTTGCGCAAGATGGTAAATAAGTTTCAGATTTGAAACTTGAGAAATCTTTCTTGAAACTAGTGGATGTTAAAGAGAGAAGGATCGCGAATAGTATCTATTGGACTACTTAAAGCTTTCTGTGTGATTTGAATATTAAGGCATCTTAGAAAAAAATAATGCATATGAATAATGTAAATTTCTGAGTTCTTTACTTGATGATCTGGGAATTTTTTAAGAAGAAGATAACAATTAATAATTTAGAAAATTTCACATGTCTTGATTGGAGAAATAAATATATCATACATTGGCTTCAAACTTTTTGGATGATGAATATACTGCATCATCTTCAATTTTTGGATGGTTTTTCCAATAATGAAGAAACTCAACTTCACAAAGCACATGTTTAAAGATATAAAAAAATGTTGTTAGGAAATTTCTTAGTTCTTTATACAAATTAAAGATTTCAGACTGTTCATGAATTCAAGTATGCATTCTAACAATTCAACCATTTTCATCAATGAAAATGTTTGAACACAAGAGAAGGGAAATACATTCCGTAGATGATATAAAAGCTTGCGTGAAATTGTGAATGAAGTATTCATAGAAAATACACATGTGTTAAGAGCAAAAATATAACCACACATATATTTTATTTGAGCATATAAAAAATCATAAAATCATTTCAACATAAGTATACTTTGATGTTAGACATGTGACAATTAAATTACCTGTCAATTATTATTATAACAAATCAATCCTATATAAGTCTATATAATCTGATACAAAAACAATCTATTGATTTTTTATCAGATAATTATTGATTAAAATAATTGAGTGTTAGATTCAATTGACGTTACACAAGTAATTAATTGAAATTCCTTATGCTTGGAAATTGACGAAGTTTCTGACATTTAACTGAAGTATGCAAAAATATTTCAACATTGTGTAAATGTAATAACCCACTAAAGGCTAAAACTGCAATATAGTGGTAGAAAGGTCGAACCCACAGGGACAGAGGAACACATAGGGTACAAAGTGTCACATTTAACAGACTATTGAGGAGTTTGAATTCTCAGGCGACTGTCACTCCCAGAAATACTGCAAGTGTTCACTTGGAGCTCACTCGGAGGTCGCACAGTGCAGCGTATTTCACTCAACACACACACACACACACACCTGAAACTACAGAAACACAACCCAAAGATCGGTTAGGACCTCTATTTAAGATTTCAGGGGGGGGGAAAGGCTCTCGCGAGTACACTCAGCGAATCTGCGGGTAGTGACTCCCAACTCCGGCTTTTACAACCCTTCCACTAGCCTTCTGCTAGCGTAGGGAAACTGGCTTGGACTTCATACTTCAGATCGAAATCACTCATACGCGGTGAATATGTAACCATCTTTAGTTAGTTAGAACTAAAGTAGAAGTTACTCTAAATTTTGATGTAGATACTTTAGTGTGCACTAGTCATAGCTGCCACGTCAGCGATCCGCGCACTTGGTAGGTACAGAGTGGATGTGTTAGTTGATAGTGCCACGTCAGTTTCGGAAGTGCAGATCAGGAACTCACTTTCTTGGCGTGTTTGTGCATTTGGTCCTGGCACCACGTAGAGAAGCTGCAGCATAGCGAAGTTACCGTATGTTGTAGTTGAAGGCCTTCGGCTGAATGTTCAGAGCTAGCACCCGGTTAGAGACTTGAGTAGTGCGGATCTGCACCTGCGGGTGATTTCTGATGCTCAGAGCCGGCTGTGAGTTAGAGACTTGAACAGTTCCCCCTTACTCCTTCGAGTGACATATCCTGATTGTACTCCTACGGGAAGTTTCCCCTGAATGCCAATGTGAAGTTTCATTACTTCGTGTAAACCTTGGTTTGTAATTCAGGTTGTGTGTGTGTTACTGGATCGTGTTTTCAGTAAGTTCTCAGTCGGGTCTGCACTCCCTGCGTTTTGTGTGATAGTCGAGGGTGACGTCCACGGCGTACGTAGAGGCTTCGTTCCGAAGTGAGAAGTCCAGTCCGGGTACCCCCGCTAGTTCCTGGCGGAAGGGCAGTAAAAGCCGGAGTGGGAGGCACTTCCTGCAGAACCTCTGAGTGAACTTACGAGACACTTTCCTCCTGAAATCCGAAGCGGAGGTCCTGACCGACCTCCGAGTTGTGCTTTTTGCCAGTTTCAGGTGTGTGTGTGTGTGTTGAGTGACCAAGCTGTACCGTGCATCCTCCGAGCATCCTCCGAGTTGAGATCCTCCTCCGAGTCGAGCCTCCGAGTCGAGCACTGCAGTATTTCTGGGAGTGACAGTCGCCTAGAATTCAAACTCTACAAAAGTCTGTTAAACGTGACACTTTTACTCTGTGTGTTGACTCTGTCCCTGTGGGTTCGATCTTTTTACCACCATACTGCAGTTTTAGCCTTGGGTGGGTTATTACATGATTTGAATTTTAAGTCATCTAAGAAAAAAAAAATTATCTGAATAATATAGATTTCTGAAATTATCAAACAATGATTTGGGAAATGTTTAAGAAGAAGATAACAATTAATATTATAAAATATTTCATATGTTTTGATTGGAAAAATGAATATAACATTCATTGGCTTCAAATTTTTTGGATGATGAATATACTGCATACTGTTCATGAATTCATGTATGCAGTCTTAAAATTAATCAAATGAAAATGTTTGAACACAAGAGAGAGAAAATACATTTTGTTGATGATATAAAACTTTCGTGAAATTGTGAATGAAGTATTTATAAAGAATAGACATATGTTAAGAGCAAAAATATCACCACAAATATATTTTCTTTGAGCATATTAAAAATCATTTTATCATTTCAACATAAGTATACTTTGCTGTAAGACTTGTGAACAACTAAACTACATGTCATTTGGTTAAGGAAAATGGTATAGAACGACCCCGGGTCGGTCGTTACAAGGAACGGCCACTTGTGATTGGTCAGTTTCTAAGCTACATAATAGGGATTCACCCAGTAAAATCTTGCCGCCTCAGTACACGCTGTGAGGGTCCACAGAAGTCCGATCTCGTTTAATCTATTGTTGTTTTGTTTCCAAGAAGGAATTCTGCGTGCTCTACATATCTACTATCTCTTTTGGGTCTTGGGGCTTGTCAACGACGGCGTTTTCAACATTCTCGAAGGCGTTCTTAAAGTCCTCAGCCTCGGTGCGACACGTGCATATGTTTCGCTTCTGTCCCAGCTGCCGGCATTGGCCACAGCGACGTTTCCGTGGTTGCTCGAGCGCATTCTTCGATCGTTTGGTGCGGGTTCGTCCTTTTGCACATGCCATCGCAGGATTTGTGATAGGAGTCATGACAGCGTCGTCTTTCTCGATGACGTCGTTCTGCGACTCTCCGACAACAGCAGGGTTGATTGCGCCCAGGGGAAGACCTTCATAAGATGCAACGCGACGCCAAATACCCATCCGCGAGCTCAAAAAGATTGTTGACGTTGATGATTCCAGACATCTCAACATTCCGCAGCTGCAGAAGTGCACGTCTCCAACGCGAGAGATTCTGCACGGCTTGGCATGGTGCAAGAAGGCACGCAAAACAAAATCTCCTTCGCAGATATATGCGTTTCCGAGGAGCATCTGCTCCTGGCTCTTCAGGAATGCGTACCTGGTCAGCGTGCGCGCTAGCTGCTGCTTCATCACCGTCGTCGCGTACACATCATTCCTGACAGCTGCGACCGTTTTTGCCCAGTATCGTCCCTCCCAAGCCATCTTGATGACGCCAAAAAATATTCAAAGGGTCATGCGTGCATGAGGAAATCACTTCACGTATGCGTTAAGTGACTCTAAGCGCTGTGTTGTCGTCATGCCAGCCGAAATGTTTGGCTGTCTTGCTCGGCTTTGAACGCAGCAAGCATATCAAGAGCGTGGTTGGCAATCTTGTACTGGCGATTGCGCACGAGGAAGTTGCGCACATCGCGAGCTGTGTACCCAAGGCGCGGGACGGTCGTCCTGCGATGGGTTACAAGAATTGCCATCATTTCACAGATCAGAATGTTTGCTGCCTCAAATTCAAGCAAAGTGGCACGGTTCCCAGCGGGAACCTCCCGCCAAAGCACGGCTCGCTGTTTGGGGGTCAGAAGCTCGTGGTTGTGCTCATGAACAGCGCGCCCAACCTTCAAGGTGATAGCTCCAGCGCTATAATCTCGATGAATGCGGATGTGGGCACCGCACCCGGTTTTGATGGTGCTCCGGGTGCGTCGCAACACAGGGTCTTGGTTGTCTGCATCTGCTTTCTTCTTATCACGAGGTTTGACAACGCCGGATGCAAGTTTCTTTGAAGTGTTATTCCTGATTTCAAACCCAACGTTGTGGGCGTACTCAGTGCACGCAGCTCGAGCCTGCTCCGCTGTCTCATATGTGCCGCCGGTGCACGGAGCAGCAAACGCTGTCCGACCAAGCTCAGGCGGCTCGGCTCCTCTTCTTCCTTTTCGTCAACGATCTCGGTTGCGATGACGTTCAGAAAATGATCCATGTCAAACTCTCGGTTTTCGTCCGAAAAGGCGGCGCCCAGGGGCGGAGTTAGAGCTTCTGTGGGCTCGTTGAAGTTCATATTTATGCGCTGATTGTGGAGATGGCGGCGAACAGGGGGTGAAGAGAAGCGTAAAGTGGAAGGTTGGATAAATAATGACCTCCGTCCTATCGCCATCAAGGAAACCCGTCCTCAGCTTGCCACCAATCAGAGAGGGCCATTCCTTGTAACGACCGACCCGGGGTAGGTCAATATCTCAACTCTTTCTTTTATATATATAGTTGTAATTCTAGAAAATATCCCAAAGTTTGTCATTTGAATGAAAGTCAATGTTATGGTGAAAGCCATGCTGACTGAAGTGAAGCTCACATACAATGCACTGTAATATGATCATATGCAATGTAAAGTGAAGTAGATTTTACTTTTTATTTAAAATTTTAGTTTTTTTCTTTGTATCTTTGTAGTACATAATCCTTATAAAAATGACAGTTCATTAGATATAAGAATCCAGGATCAGAATTATTTTCATAGTTTGTAAATATATAGAAAAGTCAGCCTTTTTTGTTTGTTAAAGGTCCAAAATAAGGAATCTAAATTTCAGCTGTAGATTTTTGGCCTGCCAAACATTTTTCTAAAGTAAGGATTTCACAATTTTCAGTTTTCTTTTATTGATTTTTATCTGAATTAGTTACAAAATTATAAACTGAATTTCAAGACTAGAAAACTTATCCACCAACAAAATAATCATTCTACAATTGGAGAAAAATTATGAATTGAAGAATGCAATCAAATAGCTTAATGATTAGATATGATTTAAAGTATAATTTTGATCTTCAAAGTAATACAATTTATGCAGATTAATATTATTTTTACATAAGTGACAGAATTATCCATTCTTATAGAAATTTATTCCGAATAAAAAATCAATAAAAGACATTTGTCCTAACTAGCAATTACAAATGATATCACCACAAAAATAGTATACAAATTTTTTTGCGAAATTTTATTTTAATGTATATATATATATGTATATCCAAGAAGGTTAAAATTTATGCAAACTTCGCTTATATATGTATGATTCTTTGAAAAAAAAATTCTTTTTTTTTTTTTTTTAATTTTTTTTAAACTCTGAAATAAATCTCAAGAATGGATTGATTTGATTACATGTGAATATTACAGAAATACTCAATTTTTTTCAATTTTTTATTAACTTAAATTTCACATCTTCATGTAAAAGTAATGGATAATAAATGTAATATGGATCATTTTATGATTATAAAATGCTACAATATGATTTTAAAATTATATATAAATATTGGAAGATGTTACAAAGCTATATGTTATATGACAATTTAAGTAAGTAAATACTTGATAGAAAGTTTTCATACAAATAGTTTAGGTTACGTCATTGATTTTTAAAAGAAAGTACCAGATTTTATTTTAATAATTTCACTCATGAATTGATGCAATATGAACATGATATCAATGGTTGTTCCTGTATCTATCATCTCTTTCCTCCATATTTTTTTTAAAATTGATATAACTTTAACAGTTTCAAACAATGCGTCAAAAAAGTTACATGTTTTTTTGAAATTAAATTTTTTTATTTGAAAAATAAAATAAGTTATTATCAATCATTCAATTGATATAAACACAATGAAGAGATTAAAATGATTTTAAAATATTTTCATTCTACATAGAATGTTAATGGTTTTAAACTTTGCTTATTTACATCAAAAAAACTTTTCAGTCATCACAATATGAAAATTTATGTTTTTTATTTCTATTATATACCTAAATTAGATCTTCATGTTTTATATTATTTTTTAAAATTTTTGAAAGTACTTCTTCAATATTTTTCAAATATAAACCTGGAATGTTGACTTTTTATTTATATGCACTTTACGATGGAGAAATATATCTCCAAATTTCATTTCTTCAAAGTTATTTTATTATATATAACAACTAAGCACATTAAATTTTTATTAAGATATTTTGAGTTTAACATTTTTAATAATTTTTTTAAATATCATAAAACCTCATTAAATTTATAGAAACATAGCAATTTTTGAGCTATCATTATAAAATACAAAGAGAAATTGGTACATTTTCTATCATAAAATTGATGAGTATATTTAAATCTTGTTTTCTTAAATTAAAAGAATGAATTTATTAAGACACTTATTCATCATTTCATGGCTCGGATTCCGTCAGACAGTCAGTCGCGGGCCCTTGTCGGATAGTATTTTAGTTTTGTGGTGTTTATATCAAATTGAAACATTTTTACATACTGTAGTTAAATGTCAGAAACTTCATCAATTTCCAAGCATTAAAAATTCTAATCAATACCATTTGTAATGTCAATTGAAACTAACAATCAATAATTTGGTAACAAATCAATACATTGATTTTTTATCAGATTATATAAACTTATATAGGTAATCTACAAATATCAATCTCATATCCTACCAGGTTTCAATCTCCGCATACTAGTATGTTAGTGTGGGCTAAGAAGTTTTGGATCTTATCTCTTGAATCTTCTTGTCTCCTGAAGAGAAAGATTTGTATACCAACTGTGTAAAAGTGTGCATCTATTTTTGCCTAGGTGACAAATTCCTCATCTCCTGGTCTAGATTATCAAACATTCAAACTCTTATGGATTGAAATCGCAGTTACTTTGGTTCCTTCTCCTCTACCACCATTTTATTCAGGTGCACATAGTGTGTGTGGTTTCATATTTATCAAGTTTTCCACCTCTGTTATCGCAAAAGTTTCAGTCAGACCCTCAATTTCAAGACGAGAAAATTTATCCACCAACAAAATAATCATTCTACAATTGGGAAAAAATTATGAATTGGAGAATGCAATCAAATAATTTATTGATTAGATATGATTTAAAGTATATTATTGTTTTCACATAAGTGACAGATATATCTATTCTTATAGAAATTTATTCCGACCTTTCAGAACATATTGCGAATTAAAAATATCAATAAAAGCCGTTTGTCCTAACTAGCAATTACAAATGATATCATCCCAAAAAAATTATTAAAATTTTTTTGCGATATTTATTATATATATATTTATATCCAAGAAAGTCAAAATATATGCAAACTTGGCTTATGTATGTATGATTCTTCGAATTTTATATATATTTTTTTAATTTTATTTTGCTACTAAACTCTGAAATAAATCTCAAGAATGGATTGATTTGATTAAATGTGAATAATGACAGAAAATCTCAAATTTTTACAATGTTTAATTTGCTTAAATTTCACATCTTCATGTAAAAATAATCAAAAATAAATGTAATATGCATCAATTTATGATTATTAAATGCTAAAAGATGATTTTAAAATTATGTCTTATTTTTGGAAGATATTACAAGGCTATATATTATATGTAAAATTAAGTTAGTAAATATTTAAAAGAAAATTTTCATACAATCACTTTACTTTATGTCATTGATGTTTGAAAAGAAAGTACAAGATTTTATTTTATTAATTTCACTCATAAATTGATGCAATATTAACATGATTTCAATGGTTTTTCTGTATTTATAACCTCTTTCCTCTATGTTTTTTTGAAATTAAATATAACTTTAACAGTTATAAACGATGCGTAAAAAAATTAAAATTATTTTTGGAAATTAAAAAGTTTTATTTTTAAAAAAAAATTTGAAAAAAAAATTAAGTCATTATCAATAAATCAACTATAAAAAAAATATAAAAAAAAATAAAAAAATGAAAACGATTTGAAAATAATGTCATTCTACATAGAATGTTAATGGTTTTAAACTTTGCTCATTTACAGCAAAACAACTTTAAAGTCATCACAATATGAAAATTTATGTATTTTATTTCTATTATAAACCAAAATTATGATTTGATTTTTTATATTATCTTTTAAAATTTTTGAAAGTATTTCTTCAAAAATTTTCAAAGAAAAACCTGAAATGTTGACTTTTTATTAGTAAATAGTAATCCATATCCAATTTTACTATGGAAAATATATCTCCATATTTCATCTTTTCAAAGTGATTTTATTATATATAACAACTAAGCACATTAAATTTTTATTAATATACTGTGAGTTTAACATTTTAAATATTTTTTTGATCATCATAGATCTTCATTAAATTTATAGAAACACAGCAATTTTTGAGCTATCATTATTAAATACAAAGAGAAATTGGTTCATTTTCTATCATAAAGTTGATGAGTATATCTAAATCTTGTTTCCCTAAGTTGAAAGAATAAAATTATAAATACATTTATTCATCATTTCATTTTATATAAAGTTGAAATATTTTTGCATACTGCAGTTACATGTCGCAACCTCATCCATTTCCAAACATATAGAATTTTAATCCATAGCTTTTGTAATGTCAATTGATTCTAACACTCAATTATTTGGTATGAAATCAATACCTTGATGTTTTTATCAGATTATATAAACTTATATAGGTAATCTACAAATGTATTAATCTCATATCCTACCAGGTTTCAATCTCCGCATAGTAGTATGTTAGTGTTGGCTAAGAAGTTTTGGATCGTGTCTCTTGAATCTTCTTGTCTCCTGAAGAGAAAGATTTGCATACCAACTGTGTAAAAGTGTGCATCTATTTTTGCCACGGTAACAAATTCCTCATCTCCTGATCTAGATTGTCAAATATTCAAACTCTTTTGGATTGATATCGCAGTTACTTTGGTTCTTCTCCTCTTCCTCCATTTTATTCAGGTGCACATAGTGTGTGTAATTTTATATTTATCAAGTTTTCCACCTCTATTCTTGCAAAAGTTAAAGTCGGACCCTCAAGCCTATATTATCAATAAGAGATACATCAGAATGGAGGATGTCAATATGATCCACGTCTACGCCTGCAGTTAAGCCCGTCACATGCTAATCACAATACATGACCATCTCGATCTATGCTCGGTTTGCTCTCGTCTGCTGAACGATGCCTTCCAAACCCTCACTTGCAACTGCATGATCTGAAGAGCCGCCGCTTTTCAATCTCTTTTCCTCGTCAGTCAGTCGTGAGAAGACGGATCGGTGGTTCACGTCACAGGTCAAAATCGTTTGCTCAATGCGAATCAGCCGCACAAAATTGTACTCAGTTTCCCTTCCTCGATTACTTTGGCGGACCAGAATTACTTAGTCCCGGTGACTGAGAACAACCATAGTCCTCGCCATTGACAAGCGTCAAAGCACCGTTACGTTCACGTGCACCGATTCTGCCTAATGTTCACGTCAGGATCTACAAGCAGAGGATTTATGTGAAGATCCACAAAAGACTTGGAGATGTACAAGATCTGAAGTAAATCCTGTAGAGTGGAGCAGAATAGCAATCTGCAAGTCACCATCAAGCCTCTGCTTTCGGGCGCCGCTCCGCCAGTCTTTGCACAGCTTGGTACGATGATCCCCCGCGGCCACCGTTGCCTCTGCTTTCGTCTTGAGGTGCTGGGCATTCATTCTCAAGGTGTGATCTCGATTGAAGCTGTCTATTGCTTTTACAAACTCTTCCCGTGCAATCAGAGAATCTTCCTCGTGCAACGGTCTGCCCAAAATTTGTGGCGCAATGTGTTGCTGAGATACATCTCCTCTCTTCTCCGAGATTATAACAGTCATATGGAGCACGTCCACCAAGAACCTGTGACAGATGCGATTACGACTGTCAGTTGCTCCAGTTCTAACAAGACGTTCGGATCAGGCACACGGAAGAATATTCATAAAAATGAGTCAAAAGCATGATCTCCGAGCTTTCCAGAGTTCATGGAAAGTTCGTCTGACGATGCGATGAACAACTGATTTTGAACTCAGTCAAGGTACTGCTTACAAACCTCGCGTTCAGATGCTGCTCAGCTGCCTGTGGCCAAGTCAACAATGTCACACGAGCGGTGATAGTCTCCAGGCAAGACAGCCAGCTGCAATGAGATACAAATCCATAGAAAGACGGACGATGAAGCACCTTCAGTTGATCCATCCGGTGACCATGGCTGCTCTGTCCAGAACTCTGTTTTGGAAACCTGGTGGGAGCATTTCTTTGATATCGGAATAGTTTCCACGTCGTCGAGGGTAAACCCACAGGAATCTCTATTTACTTGCCTTCGGTGCTTGAGCGAGCTCCTGAGCCTGCCTTGCATACATGGCAACCCAGCTACCGATGCAAATGTACAGAACGGATGACACGGGCTGTGTGTCAAGCCACTGGAGACCAGTCAGGCCGGACTTTTCAGCGGCATTGGTGGTCCCAGTTTAGGACAACGACGATCTGGTATTCATACGATCTTACAGTTTGCTTACTGCACCTGATGTTCACAAACAGTGTCATCTTCGTACGACTTATCCAAGGGCTGCAGGAGCTACACTCCACAGGTCACATAAAAGTTATGGGCGATAAACTTAAACGTTTATCGCCCGTTCGAGGAGGTTGAAAAAGTTCCAGGACTGGAGCATGCAATCAACACCAGTATGCAGTACCAACATTTAGTGAATGTAGATTTTAGTGAGTTGGAAGTGAACTTAAGTTTGAAGCTTCCGTAGAGGCTGAGATGAGCAACTTCAATCACAAGCAAAGAGACAGGACAGTTAATGATTTGCTACGGACCTAACAGTTATCCTCTAATCGGTTCTTATGTGGATCCCCTGTGCCACAAAGCTATGATGTCCGTCCCTTAGGCATCTGAGAGAGCTATGGAGACCGGACTTGCTTGTTATTTTTCCAACACCTTAAAGCTCGCCAAGGAATTAAAGACTTCACGCTTATCAATGGGAGAGAGTGGTTATGTTCATAACGTAGAAGGACTTAAACTTGATACCTTCGAGCTCCATCAATTTCATTGTTAGTATATTCTAAATGGGCCATAATTCGTGTGACCGACTGCTCTCTAATTAGAGGAACTGCACGCGAATGAATGCAGTTGGCGGAACTGCCCAATTGTTCCCCGACGTGGTAGTTCCCCGTGCAATGATGTGCATATTTGAATGTACTCCACATCGTCCTTGTGGTACCTCGTAAGTCTGTGTAGTCATGTGGCGATTTATGGCAGTTCGATGTGTGATGCACATGAGAAGTCCAAGATTTTCAATCGGATGCTGTGATTTCAGATGCGGCTCTACAGCTAACAGGGACAGCGCCGTAAGTTTGCTTGAAAAAATGGGTCTCTATTTACTCTTTCATGGCACAAACCACAACGATATGGATAACATATTAAAAACTGGACTGCTTCCAAATTGTCGTGAGGCGTGAAGAGGGAAGATTGGTTTGGCGTAGATTATACTACGAGTATAGGATACACCCGTTCTAAGACTCAGGTGCCGACAGAATTGGGCAGTGGGTGGAAGAATCTCCTATCTATGGTCTTGTGGCCTGCTGTAATTGCTGGTGTGGCGACGAGTTCTGTCAATGGCAATCAACTTCCTCTAGCCGAACTTACCTTAAGTTTCACTTCAACCTATACCTTGCCACATCCATCCAGCCGAGTGGAGTTTCTCAAGAGAGTTCCTTTCGTATTTCAGGCACTTTTCCCCAGCAGAGGAAGGAAAGAATCAGGAGTTCATGTTAATGGTGCTTTGACGCATGTGATGATGTTAATGGCGATGAAGATGGTTGTTCTCAGTCACCGAGACTATGTTATTCTAGTTGCACACAGTAATCGAGGAAGGGAAACTAAATCCACTCTTCTGCGGCTGATTCTCAATGTGCAAACGTGTTTTCCTGTAACTTGAACCACCGATCCGTCTTCTCACGACTGACTAACGAGGGAAAAGCTTGAAAGGCGGCTCCTCAGATCTTGCACGTGCACGTCAAGTGAAGTCTTTGTTTACCAGGATGGTAGACTCGTTCATACATCTAACTCTAGGTTATCTCAAAGTGTATAGACATTAATGACCTTACAAAATCTGAAGTTTTATGTCAAATGCCAATTTTGCCAGCCATGAATGCAGGTCTCATAAATCTGGAATTTTGATATGATAATTTTGTTAGAATTAAACTTCACAAAATCATACATTAAAATATCAAATCAGAATTATTCTTCTAACGATCAATAGTTTGAGATTAGAATTGACGGGTGACTGAATGAAACAATCCAAAACCTGGCAATGGACTGAGGATAAAACATATCGATATTTGGTTACAATTTTGATATTAGTTACAATTTTAATTTTGGTGGTTTTTATGAGCTGCAAATGCAGTGGTGAGAATCAAGGTTTTGACATATAGAATTTTGCATGAACATAAAGTTTTTTCCTCGAACACAAAGAAGTTCAGTTTTTTCTTCCTATAGCTTTGACGTGTTTCTTGGAAACTTCTAACGTTCATGAAAACTCAACTGTCGAAATGGATATTTAAAAAAAATAAAGTTTATAATAGTTATCATTGATTAAATTTATTAAGTATCAAAACTAAAATAAAAATAATGACATTAAAGTTTTTATGCCAAAAAGTAATTAAAAAGTACACCAAATTGAAAATAATTGTAGTACTTAACATTTACCAGAATCTACAAAGATCGCATTCATGAGATAATATGCATAATGGAAGGGCAATATATTAGTCAAGATAACATTTCATTCATAGAGATAATTTTGAAGTTCAAGCAGGCAGAGAATCGATAAGAAGATGTATGAATCGATCACTTTTTGCTCATGAGAAGATAATGTATCAACACTCGTCTTTTCCCACGGTTTTGGTTTCCTCTCCAGCCTGTGTGTTGTCGTACTGAATGAATTGTTGCAATTGTCATGTTGGCTTTAACAACCCTTCATCACCATGCTACTACGTCCTGTTCTCGAATAAATATTTACGAAGTCATTGCACCAAGTAGAGCTCTAAGAGTGTCATCCTGCGAGCTTTACAGAAGCGGCTAAGCATCGTATTTGACCGATCAAATCAAGGGAGTAACAGAAGGTGGGACCCAGAATTTCAGCCTGTTTGTCGGCAATCAGCTTCTTCGTGTACGGCCGGAAAACGACCTGGGTTTGATACGATTTCCCGAGAAGGAATTGTTCTATCTTCGAAGGATTATCGACAGGCACTAGATGGAAGTTATTCAGATTGACAATTGATGGCTTCGACTGTATGTATCCCAATGATTTTAGCTCGGCTACAACGGTGATGGTCACACACACGTCATGGAGAACCTTGGCAAGTCTCAAGTTCCACATCACGTGAGAATGACCCACTGACAAAAGAACGAACAAGGCATGGCCGAGTCTGAGCATCCTCGTTGCCCGATCATGGTCTGCCATGAATTCTGCTCTTGTAAAAACTCAGATGATTACAATTACTCCTGAGTGTACATTTCATAGGCGAAGATGTATGCGAATCTGACGGCTGACTCTGACTCTGATCTCATTTCACAAGCCACTCGAACCTTGTCACGATTGATGTAACTAGCATCTCATAACAGCGTTGAGTGCTGCTCAAATTGTGGAGAAGCGGGAACTGATAATGGGCAATGAGTCTTGTGGTTTCAAATTCGTGTTCAAAGGTAGAATTCGAGAGTTCTTTATAAACTACGAACTAGTTACACGTGAGCGCGAGGTGTATTAGCTGCCATGATTTTGATCATCCCGGAGGCGAAACCCGACGTCAGGACGTTGAGTAAATAAGATCCTGTGACTTATGAAACCTTTCTACTCAAGCGTATAGCCGAAACTGTTTATCTCATACATGTCTAAGTCATAACTTAAATCAAGAGCTCTGATGACTGACAGGCTCTCTCCAGTGACCAAGATCACCTTGCTTGTAATTTTTCAAGCACCTTAAAGCTCGCCAAGGAATTAAAGACTTCACTCTTATCAATAGGAGAGAGTAGCTACTTTCATAACGTAGAAGGACTTAAACTTGATACCTTGAGCTCCATCAATTTCATTGTTAGTACATTGTAAATGACTCATAATTCGTGTGAGCGACTGCTCTCTAATTGGAAGACCTGCACGCGAGTGAATGCAGTTGGCGGAACTGCCCAATTGTTCCCCGACGTGTTAGCTCTCCGTGCAATGATGTGGATATTGAAATGTATACCACATCATCGTTGTGGCACCTCGAGCAGACAATGCTATGTTTATTGCTTCAGAACCGTCAGTGAGCGGACAGATTTATGAGGCCAATTCCAAGTCGAGTGTACTTTCTACCGAAGTCATTTATAATCAAGGAAGTTCTTAAACAGCTTAGCAATCTTTGTGTGGAACATGACAATCAAAGGCCTTGGGATCGGAATTGAGTGCGCACTCTTGCACTTCAATCCTAATATATGACTCTTGTTCAAAGCGATAGCTGACCCTTGCTCTCCAGTGTGTGTTGATCGAGTCCCGAAACTTTCCAAGAAGCCTGAACAGATCTTGAGTGAGCTGAACAACTGAAGGATTTTGACTGCGCATTCAAGCGCAAGACCAGCAGATCTCCCGATCGATTTGACGGGAGTGGACGAAACTTTGGAGCACGTTTTTGTAGCAATGACGAGTGAGCTGACAAGGTCCGTTTCTGTATACCATAGGCGGGACGGTGCTCTCGAGGTTTATGATCGCGAGACAACGAATCTGATTCTCGATGCAGCCGCGCGAGGTGCGGCGTCCGTGAGGTCCACTAAGTTACCTGGTCGTCCAGTGTTCGACCTACATACTATGAAGCAACGAAAGTCTTGTTCCATCGAAGAAGAAGACATAGTGATTGAAGTTTCGTGGAGTCCGGATAGCTTCAAAGACGCGCAAGCTGTCAGCGGGAATGCCTCTTTCTGTAACATGGTGACGTAAATTCATCTACGCTTAGAGCAAGCATGCGCGTCTCGTGAAGATTTAGAAGAAATCGCTCATCTGATTTACTTCATTTTCGTTTGTGTATCGAACGTGTAACGCTAACTCTAATAGCACTTGCTTCCAATTGGACGTCACCCCTCGTCCCGTTTCCGAGCAGATTCTGAGGTCGGCCATACTCTGGATCAGCGAGGAGAAGTCGCTAAGCAAAATTTTGGACTTGAAGGGGGTACCGCCTCGCAGAATACGCCCAAATCCATACTTGCGCCGGGGCTGTTGGCCTTTGGACAGTTTTATTTCTTCTCTCGAGACAGCAAAGGAGATATACGGTGAGGGAGCGATGGCGACGAGGAACTCCGTCACGTTGCACAAAGCTCCTTTTCTGCCATTCGCATTGTAGGTCCAGTCAACGGTGGAGTGTGTAGTCATGTGGGGATTTATGGCAGTCTGAAGTATTAATGCGGATGCTGTGATTGCAGATGCAGCTCTACAGCTGGCGAGCGACCCTACGTTCAGTGCCGTACATTGGCTTGAATCAAATGATCTCTATGTAGTCTTCCATGGTACTAATCACAGTGTTATGGACAACATACTACTAACAGGGCTGCTTCCACGTTTTCGTAAGTCGGCGTCGGATGGGAAAGATTGGTTTGGCGTAGATTTTACTACGAGTCTGAAGTACTCGCGATGTAAAACTAAATTCTTGTCAGGTCATCGTAGGGAGTATAAGCTTCTCCTGTTTATGGTCTTGCGTCCTGATGCCCACTCTGCTGGCGTGATGACGAGTTCTGATGTTCACAAGCAGCTTCCTCTCGCCGAACTTACCCTGCTCTGAGTGGGTGTAGCAAGAGACAGGTTTGCCAGGGCAATCTGGTGCGGCCAGCTGTGGTGAATTGGGAGTGAAAGAATCAGTGCTTTGATGGTGCTTTGACGCATGTCAATGGCGATGACGATGATTGTTCTTAGTCACCGAGACTTCAGTATGTTATTCTGTTCCCCCACAGCAAGCGAGGAAGGGAAACTGCCTACACTTCTCTGCGGCTGATTCGCAATGAGCAAACGTGATCTCCTGTTACGCATTGCGCTATTACAGCTATGTGCATGTACATGAATGCTTATCAGAAATAATAGGAATCTCCTTTCTTCCGCCACTTCTGAATTCTATCCGTCTACTGCGTTCTAGTTTTGCAAATCTCGCATTCTCACTTGCAATTCTCAATATCCTTTGTTCAGTATTATAGCAAGAAGGATGTGATCCCCGATCTGACATGCATGTCGTTTCTCTTGGCGTTAAATGTAATGCGCTCTTCCTTAACTGGAGTGACTGGACCAGACTCTGCAAGCTATGAACACAGGGCTATGTAGTCAGATGTCGTACGTGTTCTTTTCAGACTGCGTAGCTGTAATTCCATAGAAACTCCATGTCCACACCATTTCGTTCCTCGACTGTAAACGAAATATAATGATCATGTACATGAGTGAGTTTGTTTTAGAGTCAACTATTTCCTGCTTCGCAAAATATGTAAATTTCAGCTTTGAAACTTAAAAAACTGTCTTGAGACAAATGGATCTTAAAGAGAGGTTTCAAAGACTATCTTCTGGACTATTTCAAATTGTGTTGATATTTGAAATTTGAGTGATTTAAATAATGAGAAATTTATCCCAATAATAATAATTTATAAAAAATTTTTAAACTTCTTTGGCTAATATTTATAAAGAAGATAAAAATAAATATTTAAAGATATTATATTTGATAATTTTGGAAAAGTAAATAGATGATACATTAACTTCAAATTTTTTGAATGATCTTTGAACAATAAATTTTCAATAGAAGAATAAACATTAAACATGAGTAATTCGTTAAGTGCACTTTGAAAAGATGAAATTCGATAAAAATTTCGTCCATCATTCAAAACATATCAAATAAAAAGTGAAAATCCAGATTTTTATTGGAAAAAATTGAATAAAACATCCTTAAGAATGTAGACATAAAAAACTTTTCAACTAAAAAGAACTAAATATCTTCAATGTAATGACTGCAGTGACTACAAAATTGTATTGATGTAAGTGAGCAAAGATTTAAAACATTTACCTTCTAAGTACAATAGGGTTATTTCAAATAGTTTTTGACTTATTCTATTATTTTTTATCTAAATAATTTTTTTAATGAAAACCTATATTAAAACTTTAAAAAATTACGAGATCTAAATATAATCTACTTTTTTTGCACACAATATTGAAAATTTTAAAGTTATCTTAATGTTATAAACAACATAAAGAAAAGAGCTTGTAAACACAGTTAAAAGATTGAAATTAGCTTTAGATTGCATCTCAGTGCTAATGACAAGAAAAAAATAAGGCTTTGAATTTTTCTTATTCAAACATTAATGATGTAAAGTAAACTGCTTTTATGAAGATCTTCACATTGATAGTTACATTTGATAGTCACATGTAGGTTTTATACAATCCTAAAAAATATGTATAATTTTTAAATATATAGAGCAATTTATAACATAAGATGATTCATATTATTTTACAATTCATTTTTTTTAAATGTAGAGTTCATAATAAAGATTCATGAAAAACTGTCTATGAAAATAAACATTGTAACAAAATTCAGTTTTAAGATCATTACAATTTTTAGATAATATTGAATCCTATCAATACAGTATTTTCGATATTAGCACGGAATGAGAATTTGAATTAATTATAAAAAAATGGTTGGAAGAAATATACATTCTTTAGTCATTCTTGAAAATTTTATGAAATTTTTGAACTAACATTATATATATTTTGAAAAAAAATTTGCAAGAAAAATAATGTTTGAATGATTTTTTCTTATGATATTATTTTTAATTTTTATTTGGAAAAAAATATTTTTATTGAAATTTATTAGTTATTTACTTTCCATTTTTATAAGATTGAATCAAATCTATAACAAATGTGCAGACATGGTTGTATTAGGGCGGCGCCTAAATTACCTCAAGTCGGCAGGCCTGGGAGTCTAAACTAATGTAGATGTGGTTCTCAATGGGGAGGGGGCGTCTAGTCGAAACTGTCAGTGTAACGGATCTCGATGGAAAGGATTTCGCTGTAAACTTTAACAGATTACTCAGTTGGAGGTGGGCCAAATCAAACTCAAAGTCGCGCTCTTTCGGCTCATATATATACCGGATCTCATCGGTCGAACTCAATTATTTTCATTCATCTATTTCGGAGCAGAGTAAAATTGGGTCCTTGCAACTCTTGCTCTCGACTAGAGTGAGTCCGAATTTTCGTTTGAGTTCTTCTTCATACACTGCAGGTTTAACCTTCGTGAGATCACTTTCCATAACAACAACTAATTTCAACCACTTCCATTACTCTAATGCCTGAAGTTTTTCGTCTTGAGTTTTGTCCCGGTTCAAGTTCCTTGCTTTGAATACGGCTTGATGGAAAAGTATATTTTATGGATTGGGGTTACATTACTTTTTGAATCGTAGAACCAGAGCACATGAGCTCTGCAAGTCTGGCTTGACGTTTGTTGCATTTGACATCACTGTTCAGCAATGTTTCCGTTTGACTTGGTTGGATAATGAATTTCTAGTGAGCGAGTAGACTGACCATTTCTCGTGAAATCACATTTTGGCCCTTGGTGATCGGCATGTTCTGGACTTTTTAATTGCATGTAGAATTCTATTTAGCTAAACGTAAGCACAACTCCAAACCAACCTTAAGTATGGTGATTAGTTCTTTGTGTTTGATTATATTAAAGGTTACTGCGTTTGAAGTAGCCACCTTTCGTTTTCAGCCGCTCGAGCACGAAGCAGTTTCACATTTTTTCACACGAACAACTTACACGGTCCAGTTAAACTTCATATGATCTGAAATCATCTCGAACTTGATCGAGTAATCTCTCTGCCTTTGACGAATGCGGAGCACGAGGAGTCTAATCTTTGGGGCCCATTCTTTACTCGAAGTGTCAAACAATTTACCGTAAGCCCCAAAGGGTTGAGCTTGTAAGTGCTGGAAGTAGCAGACTAATGTTTCCTCTTTCATTTCAAGTCTCGCGTTGATACTCTACCTTACCTCATGATTCAGTACCCACCCACAAGTTAGCTTCTGTTAAATCGGGATGTTGTAATCTACTACTTTCAGCGAAGTTGAAGAAAAATTGTGATTCAAGTGTTGATTGATTATTGATTATTGATTATTATCAATCCCTCTGCAAAACAGTCAAAATAATTTTTGCTCATAGAACATTTCAAGCATTGATAAATGCTCAATAAAAAATTTGTATCGACAATTGTCCAAATAAGTTTTTTTAGGAGACTAAAATAATCGAAATTAAATTTTTGAGTAGACTAAATTAACCTAAATTAACTTTTTTGAGGAGACTTAATAATATTTATTTATGTAATTTAGGCGAGTGACTGTATAACCATGACTGCATATAAGAAAAAATTTAAATATATAAAATATGTTATTGATCAAGTTAAAGATAATAATAAAAATTTGATTTTATGCTTCGATACAAAATTATTTTCCAATTGAAGAAAGAACATTCTGTTGATGGACATATTTGATAGTATTGAGATTCAATTTATGATTTTTTGACTATATCAAATTTAAATTAATAAAAGAAATTTGGACATTATGAAATCTTTCCAAATTTCTTTTACTTTTACAAATTTATTTACTTTTAGAAAATATTTGGCAGACCAAAAGCCGTACTCTAAAGTACAAATTCCATATATCAGAGCTTTAAAGAAATATTAAAAGCACTAGATTTAACATATGCTTACAAACTAACAAAAATTTAATTTGATCCTCAATTTTCTTACTTAATCAAGAACCAATTTTATTTATATTTATAAGAATAATGTAACATGAAAATACAAAGACAAAACTAAATTTCTTGGTATAAAGTAAAATGCATTTCACTACAATTCATGTTACATTACATTGCATTGCATGTGAGCTTCACTGCGGTCAATGTGACTTTCATTCAAATAACAAACATTTTCTAAAATTGAACTTATATATAAAAACCATCTATGAACTTCTTATCATCCCACTCTAAATCAAACATTTTCATTACCAAAAGAAGAGATCGGATGTTGGACTGAAACAGCGTGTACCACATCATACACCATTCGCTTGTCAAACTTTGTTCATTTCCTCTTTCCTCGAACCATACTTCTTGTCATTCATCTTATCATCCAGTACGTGCATATAGCTTGGTGTTATCTCTCCTATAATTCAAGATACTGGTCCATGCCATGATAGTAATCTTGAACTGCTCGACGGTGGTTTTTAACGAGAATGGAGTATTAGATGATTATCTTAACTGTAATTGGTCACATGAAAATTCCAGATTAAGGTGTATGGTAAAGTATGCCACTTCCCTTTTAGCGCTTTCAATTGTTGTGATATGGATATGACGTACATACGTTTAGCCAAACTTTTGATCAATTTGACTATAGGCATGATGTTCTGGTTACTTGCTTAGCTTTAGGCAAAACGACTGTCACTACTAGCCCTTATAGTTTAGAAGCAATAGAAAAGAATTAGATGACTGTCATGCTCGATGTGACAGTCAATGTAAATGTGGACGACTAATATTGTAGTCGTGTTATAACCTTGTTCATCTTGCAACCATGACCGAGTGAAGGGGCATAAAGCACAGAGTTGTTATGTGAATGAAAATAAGTCAAGCATTTCACCTTTGATTAATAATGAAAGACGAAGTGGCGAACTTGCAATTGCCTACTGGACTGGAACATACATTGAAACTAACCAATTCTAGCAAGTAGATTATCAAAGATCAATCCATGTCAACTGTAAAATTCCAAGTATTTACGGTAAACTTACCCGCATATGTACCTGTATATATGTATCTTGGAACCCCACTCTCAGCTCACAGTCGGGTTCTGAACCTCCTAGCTCGGTGTACATTTCAACTGTGCGATGAGAGCAATTATTGCATATAATTATTCGCTGATAAGACAGAATACTAAAGCAATGACGCATGTTGAAAAGATTTTTTCTTATAACCTCCTCTTTTCATCTCTTCTTCCCAGATAAGAAGCATAAAGCCAATACCCCTTGGCCAAGGACATCCGCATCAAAGTAGATTTCCACCATTGTACCTGCCCATAAAGGCTGCTACGATTGTGCCGGAGAACAAGGAAAGGGCTTTAAACTCCTATCTCGCATCTGAGTGAACACATAGAGTTAGAGTTGAGGCGAGCTCAAGCTCAGTTGGGACTCCGAGAATCCTGTCGCATCATATCTATGACGGTAGAGTGGAGCATCCTTTATTCCCCGATCCTCATCATCTTACCTAGTAAACCGAGAACTGACAGAAATGCTCTGACGGTTTCCAGTAACTACGATAAACGTTTGCAACTCAAGAGTTATAAAATGGGACAGCGCGAATCGAGGCGAGTAGATTCGTCCGGGAGCAACAGACAGAAGAGAAGCGGGCGACGACATCGAAATTTGCAATTGTAGAGAGTTGAAAAGCAGCAGAGCTATATATACTCATTAGTTTGAGGTCTCCGGGTTTGAGTCTGCTCCCGCTCGAATTCCAGCTCAGCATCTCCGTACATACAAGGCACTCCAATATGTACAGCCTTAATACCAGAGGCTTAACAGCACTCCAACCTTCCTCACGTCTATGTCGTTACTGCTCTTTCTGGAGGCACAACACAAATCCTCGACCCAAAGAAATCGTGCTCTGTTGTACATAAACTCTCTTGCTGACGCGGTTCACGCTTAGTACGGAGAAGGTGCATCAAAGCAATTCAAGGACTATACATCATGACAAAGTTTGGCTTACACTGCTTTAAGAATCGCCACCTGCTGCCCAATGTCTCTCGTCAACTCTTCTATTGCCTTAGTATATACACAGCGGCTTCTAAGAATTTCGAAAGTCCTGCCAACCGTGCAAGTGGTGATACTATACTCTTCGTATTGTCTGGATGAGCGTTGACAGAGTCCTCTATAATTGCAACCCAATTTGTGTATTACACGAGAAGAGCAAATCTAATAACTTTCCTGCATTCCCACCGGATTAAGACTGAAGAATCTCACCCTGCGCCATAACATCAAAGTCCGTAGGGAACTTTGGCACAACATTGACAAAGATCAGCAGTGGCTTTGACCAGCTAAAGTGATTCTTTCACAATCTAGGTTACGTTAGTGGATGATCATAGATTACAGATCCCAGTTCATAACAAGCGAAACTTCGATTTCTCAACTGATTTTAAGGACCAACCTATGAACCAAGGCAGTTTCACTGTTGTTATCTTCCATCTTAAAACATATACGTTTACATCCACCACCAAAGTGAACATCCAGCCAATCTGTTTGATCCCCAGAGGCGAGAAACGAATCATTTATTACCACTTTGTACATACATAACCACTGTATATACATTCTAAATATGTACAGATGATACACAAGAGTACTCAACACATGTTCATAGTTTGCTGCCATAATGTACAAGTAGAATTAGAAGTGGCAACTAAACAAGATTTACTCCCGAAGCTCAACAGCACCACATTCATGGGAACCTTCCACAATTCATGCTTTTCAAGCTGTTGAGGGCATGAAGAACCCTATCTGTACATCTTCACGGAGTGAAGTTCACTTACTTCCTACTTGGATATAAATCAGCAATGTCTTTGCTATAATTGTCGTATATCACACCTCGCTTCATCTTCAACGTCGGAGTGAGCAAGCCATTCTCTACCTGCACACGGAGAAGATGCACAACACCAGCACCTTATTGACAAAGACCAGAACATCAAAAGTTCACCCACGTTTTCAGTATCACAATGTTTACCAGTTTGTCGTGGCCACTTACCGAGAAAGGCTCGTCAATAAGCTTGAACGGTCCTATCGGACACTGCATTTGAGGAGCACTGGACCACAAACAGTTCTTGTTTTGTCAGTATTTGAATAGTGAAACAAAATTGAAATGAGCGGCAAATCTAAATGGCTCGCAGGGAGAGAACACAACCACCCCATCAAGAAACCCATAATGCTTCATCATCAGAGAACTGCATAACAGATTGCACTTACAGTTTGTTTAAGTCTTGACGGATCTTCTGTTCCAATTCCTCCTCTGACAAAATTCCTACCAAACCTTCGTCTCGGTTGGGAACAATCAAAGCTCCCAACCGACGCTCATCCTGCAAATGTAACGCCGGACAACTTGATCAACAACCTCAATTCATCTAAACTGATTTTAAGATTGAAACAAACAGCTGGAAGGGTTGTGAATGGCATGACAGCTTGTTGCTCATGATACTTCGTTTAACGATGAGATTACGAGTCGAATGCAGAGGTGTGACCACTCACCTGACCAACAACCATAATCTGGTTCACATACAAACTCTGCAGGGCAATTTCCTCAATCTGAGTTGGCTCAATATTTTCTCCTGTTGCGCAACAGTGACCATCGTCAATCCACGAAGAGGATACTCAATCAAAGCCAGAGCATAAAACGTTAGCAACATCCATCGTCATAATCGGAGACGGGCCATACCTGAAGACAACACAATCGTGTCCTTTTCTCTACCATCCAGTACCAAAACTCCTCCACATTTTCTAGCGGCACCCACTTCATGGAACGGAGCTATCCAGCCTATGTCACCTGAGTCAAAGTATCCATCTTTGTCTATGGCTTTTTCTGTGGCCTCCGGATTCTGCACATTTGATATAGGCCAGGAAACAAATCGATATCAGAGGCAAAAGCTGCAGAAATTAATCTACTTTCTGAAGAAGTTTCCCGTAGACAAGAAAGAAGGCACAGTACTCACCTTGTAATATCCTTTCATAACTTGTGGACCTCGAATCTTCACAATGCCCTTCTCACCAGGTGGCATCCTCTTGCCGGTGAGGGGATTTACAACAATGATCTCAGTCTTTGCTATAGGGCGCCCTACAGACCCAAGGACCTGAACAGTGAGGGCGACGCAACGTCTATCAGAATAAATTCAACCTTCTCGGAACACAAGTTTTGTAAAAAGTCCATTTGTGCCGGCATCAACGACATATTGACACACAATACCAGATACGCAGTTTATGAAGCTCACATTATTTTGAGCCACCCTGGCAGCAGCAACTGGCGACGTCTCAGTGAGGCCATATCCATTTAACACGGTTATTCCAACGGCCTGCAAGTGACGTGAACGCTGTGAGCATAAGCAAACTTGGATCTTCGAGGGAAATTGGTCTTCTGCCAAGTAGAATTCATCATTCCGGAACATTCCCTCGACCTCAAATCCTCCACTCCAATGAATGTAATTATTGAGGTCGAGAGTATGTGAAATTAGAATGAACAGCAGATTTTACCTCAAAAAAATTATCGATGTGACTAGGAAGACTTCCACCTCCACTAATGGCAGCCTGACGATACAAATGTTTACAGAAAACGACTATCAATATGCCAATATTGTTTCTGATCGCAATTACGCAGACATGGCTTCGAGCCAGGAATGCAAAACTGTCATGATTACATAAGTCAGTTTACAAAAAAGTAGCAATATCTTGATGAGAACAATCGAATCCCACACCAGTTTCATGGGATGCTGAGAAACAGCAAAAGAAAATCGGAGTATTTATGTTTGTCTGTACACACCTTCTTTATGCAAATGGATGCCAATATTTTCGAAAATACTATCTTTTGTGCCAAAATGTGTAAAGGCCATAAAATTAGAAGCATAAAGGATGCTATTAGCCACTGTGTCTTAGCTGCTCCAGAAGACTGCTCTACACGCGCGTATGCCAAAGCTCGACCCTGCGAATCCAAATCTCAAATTGACATACTTGTGCAACGGAAACAAGAGTCGACAGCGCACGCTATGTGCAACCCCACATACAAACTTAACAAAATTTCTAGAAAGTATGATTAACAAGTAGCGAATTTAACCAGTAGCAAATGCTTACGTCAATAAGTTTTTCCATTTGCTTGTACTTTAGGCTTGCAGCGATAAGCGTCATGGCAATCGCCTTTTTCACCGCACTCCCGTTGGCAATTTGCGTCATAATCGCACTGAATTCCAGTCCGCATTTCCACACTCAGACAATTTCTCACTATGTCAATCAGCAACAAATCTTTCATGATCCATTCTGTGCGCAATGCAAAACGTAAAATCATTACCTGTACATCGTACTAAATACTAGGGGTACGGCGACGAAGAAATCCGTGGGATATCTGGCCAAGTCGACCTGTAAAAACGATTGCGAATTTCAGAGAATACGAATTCCAACCTGCACTGCCTCTGTTTTATCGCACTACCATATGATAAAATCCACCCTTTGAACGATCCCCAAAAGCAAACGTTTGGAATGGATGAAGGGTGAGTTGATGCGCGAACCTTGAAACGCTTAGTGGACGTATATACGACACAAACACCTTGTGATAGGACGAAGTACTCTGCAGATCGCTCGTACATGTGCCAAGGGGGTAACAGACTGAGAAAAATCTCCCCTGGGACTGGTTTCACCACCTCGGGCAAATTGACGATCTGCCCACAACAAAAACAGAGTTCACTTGATAAGCTTCCTTCACCAAATGACGATTCCACCTCTTTGATTGATTTGTTTCCGATCCAATACAGGGAGGAGCACAGAAATCAACCTGGTGAAGCAGATTCGCATGTGACAGCATGACTCCCTTCGGACTGCCCGATGTCCCACTTGTGTACACGATAGTGGCCAAGTCTGTAGATTTACTGGCGTCCGATGGAGCTTGGGGGCTGGTAAACCCAGGACTGTTGAAACCATCAACCGTGTACATGCGTGAGTCCGATGGTGCGCTTTCCTTACTGATATATCTTCTAGACAGGCTGGTGCGCCCGGTTTTGATAAGGTCGTCGTAAGTGTACGTCGGTGTGCCTGATGGTGCGCTCCCATGTCCGTTTGCCGATTTGGAGGGCCAAAGAACGACCACGAACATCAAAGAGACTTGAAGGTGGGATGCCAACTTGTTATACGTTTCAGGAGTATCCACCACGAGCGCCACACTGCAACGAAATTCGCAGGATTCCTTGAGGCGTAATTATTCCGGACATGTGGAAAGGAGTCGAAATTCAAACAAAAGATTCGAAAAGCGTTAACAAAGCGAAAGTCGTACCTGTCCGAGTGAGTAATCACTCCACAGAGCTCCTGGGGCGATGATCGAGTTCCTCTTACTGCGTTTACTGCCCCAGCTGACAAAATTCCTGATAGCAGAGCAAGCCCAAGATGTCTATGAATTTTCATCATGCCTTCTTCTGACTAGGCATGTAGACAACAAGGTTCCATAAATTGACTGCAAGGCCTACTACTTGGAGAACCGCGAGCAGTTCGGGGACGACAAAGAATCCACGACTGGAACAAATTTCACGCTTGGGATTGTGAATCGTCAAAACCTTGATCCGCGATCAGCCATCGGTATGAATTCTCGGATATCAAGGCCACTTTCTGACTCGGCTTCAAGCCGTAAACTCGAAGTCCCTCTGAGAAGTCCAAAATTTCTTGATATGCCTGCATTCGTTGTGATAAGTAGGACTACGTTACAACTCGCGACGAGCAATTTCAAGAACGGGCAACAAATTCAGGGTCAGACGGTCGACATGTGATGCGACACTAGTGTCCAGTTCGAAAACAGATTGTCAATTTTTATACCTCCTTAAATGTCAATTTCGTGGGAGGATCATGATGCGGATCGTTTAGAGCTACATGGTCACCAAACTTCTCCACCGCTGTTCTCCAGATATCTGTAACATTTTTCCACTCGCCCGATCCTGGAACTGCAACACTCTGTGGCTCTACCACAGGCGCAAAATTCCTGATGCCTTCGCGGGGCTGAAAAAGAGTCCACCATCCAGGAATTACACTCCTAATCCAAATAAATGCTCATTGCAAGACGCCCAGGACCAAACTGTGCGTAGCAAAATTTCAGGCAAGTAAACCTGCTATGACATGAGCTTCAGGGACGCTCATGCCATAAGAAGCACACGAGAACACTCTCCTGATAATGAGCTTTCTGTAGCTGCAGACAGCTTCGGAAATTTCTATGGGAGGCGAATAACGGGAGACACAAAATTTGGTTGAACTGGAGAAGATTGAAGACTGTGGACCAAATTCGGACCGCTGGCTGCCAGTAGCAGCACTTTCACGGCAGATTGTGAAGACAAATACGCTCATCAGTGCAGAAAGAAGAAGGAGAAGCAGCAATCTAGCTTTCAAGTTACGCTACAAATTTGAACTGCACCAGCTACTTCCTTTCGAGCTGGCTACCTCTATAGTACAACGGGTGGAGAGCTGAACGTTCCGATTTTGATCACCGCGCTTGGTCCCACAGCCCCTTAACCTTCGAGAAGCACCGACTCGCTTGATCGCCGCATTGTGAGTCCTCAAATTGGCCAATTGTGCTCCCACAATCCGCCGGCGTCCCGACCCCAATTCCTCGATTCCCTTCACAGAATTCGGACAAAGATGCTGGGCGAAAATCCCATGGGGAACAGTCCCCATTGCGGACATCGGAAACCTGAAAAAGACTTCGTTCGCTCGCTCGTTCGCGCCCTCTCAAATCAAAACCGACCCAATTTTCTCAAGCCAGGCTGCGTGAACACCCCAAATCCTGCCAACACTCCGACCGACCAGAAATCTATCCCTTCCTAAAAGCGAGCGGAATCGAATCCTCATCCAATTGTCAACGTCACCTCCATCATCGTCTCGGTGGTCGTCGCAGCGAGAGCAGCAGCAGCAGCAGCCGACGGGGACACGGGATCGAAGGGCAAACGGAGCAAGAAAAATCCAATTCTCCTCACAATTCTGCCACTTCAACGTCTAGGTTCGGCCCCTCGCCCCCCTCCCTGCCTCCCTCCGAATCCAGCCACAAACACAAGCCCCACAACTCATCCATCCAACAATCCTTCTCCCCCCTTTCCCAACACTTGGCGCTGCCCCCATGTCGAGCAGATTCCCGTCCCTGCCTCGTCCTCCGCTTCTTGGGGCCGCTGGCGGTGCAAGCAAGCCCCGCCGGTGCCAGAGCGAAGGTCCGCCCGCCGCCCGCGGCCCGCACCTCCCATCGCCGGTAGGCCAGCCTCGGGGCCGCCGGAACCCGGAACCCGGCGCACCCGCGATCGCCGCCCGGCCACCGCTCCGGAGCGAGGCGAGCTCCCAATCTCGGGCTGTCGTCGTCGACCTCCGCAGTCGAGATTCGTGCCGAGAAACGGGAGGCCGCTGCGACGACACCTTCCGGTTCCCTTCCCTCTGGCAGACGGTTGCCGTGCCCCTCCGCCGTGATTCGCCTGGGCATGTTTGTCTTCATGCTCTCCCGTCGCCGCTTCATCTCGCCACGGCGGGCGGGCGGGCGGGCGGGGGGTCGGCCCGAGCTCCGGCGATCTTTGCCGAATGGAATCGGTCCGAGCGCGGAAGGCATTCTCTGCGGAGATGCGGCGGTATGCTCCTGAGGATTTGCCCGGCGCTGCGAGAGGAAAGTGCGTGGAATCTTTTCGATATATTTGCGATGCCTGTGGCTGGTTGATTTTCGCGGCGAACACGGAGGAGATTTACGGTCCGCCGACCCGAGGGAGGGAGGGAGGGAGGGAGGGAGGGAGGCCCGACCAGTGATTTGGTCCTTTTCCTGTGCGTAGCATGTACCTCGTCCAGGTGTGCTCGAGAGCTGCTGCTGCTGCTGCTGCTGTGATCTTCCGCTGCGTGAGACAACTGTCCTCCTTTCGCGATTTTCGTGGTGCCTCTTGCTCCACCGGTTCTCTGTCCGGGGACGGTTCTTGAACTCCTGAGGACAAGACACGATTCGCATTCGCCATGTGAGAAATGGACCGAAGGGTGTCGAGCACCCTTCGTCCGTCCATCGTGCACTTTGATGAGACCTCTTTGTATTTCCCATGCCTCCTTGATCTCTTCAACGTGGAATTCTACAACTCCTTCCTAAATTTCACGCCATCAAATTCACAAGGACAGTGTTTCGAAGACTTGTTGCAGATTTCGTGTATAGCATGTACCTGCATTTGCTATTATCCTTCTGGTGCATCAGGTGTAAAAGATATCAGAAAAAAATAGCTGAAAGGATGGGTAGACTCCATCAACCCATATAACGACAGTCGTTCTATGATTAAACAAAGATTTCCTATAGCATCACAATGTGAAATTTGTGTATTGCATATAATATATACAAATTTTATTTATTATTATTATTTATGTTGGCATTTTAAAATCACAACATAATTTGATTTTTCCAAAATGATTTGCATACACTATTCTGGATGGAGTGGTTGGATCAAGTACACTACAAGGTCTACACAACGAGGGAATGAGAGTGATTTCGAATGTTGCATGATATTGTAGCCTATTCTGAAACTTTCACAAACATTACAAAGTTGTTACTTCACAACTTCGCAGAATTCCAAAATTGGAGCAATGAATGAATTAGCACTAAAAGAATAATCAAATCATGAATATTCATTTATAGTAAAGAAAAACATAGAAAACATCACATGTTATTTGATTTTATCAAATAACATGTGATGTTTTGAAATGCTATTATCTACAATCATAAAAACCTTTATGTGATATGTTTGGATGATAGGAGACAAAAAATTGGACAATTGGACGTTTAATATATATAAGATGTTGATAAATTGTGTACATTTTGCTGAAAAGTTTAAATCAAAATAAACATGTTGATTCTTTGAAAATTTTCAAGTTGTCAAAGTTTCAAACTTAGAAGATACGGTTACATAGTCAAGCAATCATAACAATATTCATGATCAGTTACAATGTACTTTTCTGTTTATATCCATCACTAAGAAGTAAAGAAAGACAAGGAAAAAAATAAATTAAAAAATGACATTATTGTTCTTTCACTCTTGATTATCGAAAAGAAATAGACTCAAAATGTCCTACAAAGTAGTATAAAACTCCTAACTCCTTTAGTGCGAACAGACAAGACAATTTACACATACCATGCCATCATGGTGTGTGAGACACTGTCAGTTACTAAGTGCAAAAAATGCAGATAAAGTTTCCAATGGTTTGGAAGAAGAGTTCACCGTTCAAGTTCTCTTCATTCATTCATTCGGATAAGATTGAGTGTTGCGTGATTCTTCATTTGCACTTCATAAATTCAGTACCCTTCATATGCTTTGACATCAGACTGGCGTTTTATCCAGGCCACTAACATGCCCAGGGTATGGGTAGGGACAAATGCGACCCAAAGTACAACAAGAAGACGTCATTTGCGAGGAAGGGAATATGAAACGAAGAATATGCAGTGTGGGTAATGGCATCCTATCGTTGGACGCAATCAATTTGTTGAAAGCAATGTGGACATATTCCAAACTCTTGTTCGATTTGACTTTTTGGAGAACGTAAGGTACGGTATAGTTCAGTCAATATAATTTGCCGCGTGATTACCTTCCAAAGGGCAGGAAGACAACATTATATTAAATTACTTTCAGTTTCTGTCCTTTCTACGTGTATGTAATACAATACAGTATGATCTACTCCACATCTATATATCCATCAATACGTGCCACCGAAGCGCAGGTGCGGTGAAAATCACCAATAATGTCAAAGTCATGCCTTCTTGCTGACTATTCATACGTATATTTTTGTCTACATTGACCTTATCTTGATCAGGCGTAGGAAGCTGTTCAATATGCAGTCAAGGGACATCATGCTTTGCAACATGATGCCCTTTGTATGGCACCGAATACCTGAGGTAGACCATGATGCATTGTGCACTTGGCGTACACCATTCGAATTTATTCTGCATTATATTCGTCGCAAAAAGTGCAACTTTTACAACTTTTGATAATCGTCAAAATATCTTATCCCTATCCCATAGGAGGATGGCCTCAATCTTCTCTCTTGTGTCCGACAATTTTGTTTGCTTCTCCATTTCGAAGTTATGGTTCGAGCACAGACAGAAAAAGTGACCATATTTTCTTCTTCAAATCATATGCGGCTTGCAGCTCTGACCGAATGAACTTCTTGTTTTAAAATGTTTTGACAAGATAAACTTGTTGAAGTAAATGGTTTAACCGAGTAATGTTCTCTTTCTTCATGTTACAAACACCCCTTATTTGTGGTCCTGATTCACAATTTCATAGTTGTGTCAAAGTGCTTCTATGCATCATTATTTTTCAGAAGACTCATTTTGTGTACAGTATTTCATAAGCCAATACTAGGACCCGAGTAGCTCCTACTCTGTTTCTCCTATAATGAAAGCTCTGTGTGTCTAAACTTTATGCGATAAGAGAATGGGAGCTTCGGGTCCGTAACCGTGTCTGCATCCACTGCCCTGGTTCCACACTATTTTCGTCCCTTAGAAAACTATAATCGCCTTCACTTGGCTGAAGTTTCGATTCCGTGTGAGCATCTAAATTCAAATCACCTCATTAAAGTTGGTATTGCATCATTGCTGCGTTCATTGTTGCGCTGTCTACACGAGGAATGTTCAGTTCAGTGGGATGTCTTTGAAGAAGTCCAAAGCCTCAACAGATTTCCTTTCTGTCTTCACATGGGGTGACGTTTGCAATTAAATTCTCATGTGAACCCTTGAAGGCGTATTTTTATTTTCATGTGAATACTTGAAGGCGTATTTAGCCCTCCACACGAACAAAGTACAACGCCGAAAATACACACGTGACATACATTCGCCGTCTCGGAGGTCATGCGAATGTCATCAGAACAATCATGGGACGGTAATGGAGTTGTCCAAATACCAATGCAGTGTAAAGTGGACCCACTTTCAACACAACTGGTGTGAAATTAAAGCATAAACCCAACCTCGTACGGTTTTGCCTTGTCCTGCAATACTCTCCATGTCTTTGAAGAGGTTTTGCATTCACCATGTGCGTGCTTGCACAAGGATAATAGTCCTCCACAAGACTGGTGTGAACCTTTGAGCAATCTGCTAAAACTCGACAAATCTAACCCACCGAGAAGCTTGCTTTCGTCTCCACTAATATGGACAGGTTTGTAAAGAGAGCAATTTACCACGAATAGGAGAGGCTCGGTGGCATTAGAGGATATTTTTTCCGCAATTTTCTTGCACACTATCCTGAAGTTATCCTGAGGGGATAAATGGGCATCGCTAGGAGCGTATCGATGCGTCATATGGATCCGATTATGTCGGCCGGCCAATACATTTCATCGAGGTCGATCCTAACAAGCTACGAAAGAGGAAGATTTGAACCAATTTTACCTGGCTAGGCGAGAGTTTTTCTCATCAGAAAAACACACTCCTGTATTTCTGGAAGCGAAAGGCGATGACGGGAGCGAGCGAGAGGGAGAGGGATGAGATTAGGTAAGTTGCGGGAGAAGTTCTTCACGTATTGTAGGGGCTCTATTTTGGCAACCACCAAAAGTGAATAGGCGATTTTGTTTGCTTCTATGTTGTGGTTCCATTGGTCCATAAGGTAACACAATGAGCAATTGTACTGAGATATGTTGGTTATTTTTAAAATTTATTTATTCTTTCTTCAGTGAATTTCTATCAGATTATACAAAGTAAGATGGATTGTTCCAATCTCTTCCTTTGTCTACTTCCTCTTTCTACTTGAGTAATTATGAAGATCCAAAAATATTGATGAGTGTTTTAGATTTTTCAGGGATTTGAAAGTTAACATTTATACATGCCAGGAGTTACATTTTGCAGGTGAGAATAGATACTTGATGAGATAACCATTGTACTTCTTGTTATCTTTGTGCTAACTATTTCTTCAATTTCACGCGTGTTAGCTTAGATACATTTAGTAGATCATCAACAGGATTCATCATCTATTCAAGTGAGGAGGTATCTGTCCCATTTCACCTGGCATAGAAAACGCTCAATTCAGTCATAGTAGTTTCTTCTTCTGACAGATAGTGTCTGCAGCAGCATCTTCTAGATGAGCTTCTTTCTGCTATTTCTGTGAAAACAGAAATTCACAGAAATGAAACTGCCACTTTTACAGCTGATGTAACCACATGACAGTTTGCTTCAAGGTACGTGTTTCAACGAGCACCGACTTAAGCTTCGAAACACTGAGAGGTGAATCAGAGAGAGATAGAGAGAGAAGACCGTGGATTGCTTCTCTGTTCTTCGCGGCTCACGGCCATGCTTGTGGAGCGAGAGTGACATTAGTGTACAATCCATACACGCAAACGATCCTGAAGCGATCTACAAGCGGAAAGGTAGAGATTGTGTGAGGTTCTGATTGGGCTGTAATGGGTGTCTACGTCAAAAACGATTGGCATGCACTGAAACCACTTCTCACATGATCAATCCACTTCTACTTGAAATGGAACTTGGATTTGCATTAACATTTCCATTGCCGTACTCCAAAATCAACGAGCCAAGGCCAAGGATATTTCCTGAATATGAGCTTTTGTGTGCATTGCAAAATTTTTATTACAACTTGGATTCCATAAGCAAACCAATGACATCAAAATTAGGTTTCTTTCATCTTGGAGAAAATCAAACTTTGAATGTTATCGATTTTGTACTAATGCCTAAAATGAAATGGTAAAATTATTAATAACTTCCCTTAATAAAAGTTCATGGTAGATGACCCAATGGATTATCTACCATGAATTTTTAATTTCAATTCTCAGAAAATTATATATCCATTAATGCTACATTAATGTTGAATTTATAATTCAAAATCAATATTTAAGTACAAGATCAGAAATTTGAAAATATTCATAATATTTAAATAAATAATTACTTATATTCTTTATAAAAAATATTAAAATCTTAGTTTAAATATTTCATATAGTTAGTAGCAATTCAAGTCTCTCCTTAAATTATTTCAACCTTATTCAAGCTAGCATAAGTGTTAGATTTACTCTAGGTAGGATTAGACATAAGTTTCTGGTACCAGATATATATATATATATATATATATATATAGGGTGAGAGAGTCAACTCGCCTTGAAAAATTATAAGTTTTTCCAAGAAAGATTTTAACGCACCGTGGACGTAGCTCGTAAATGGCCAACAACGTTTTTTCTTGTAGTCAGTTTTATTATTCTTGGATGTGTCAATTCTCGTGTGTTCTGTAACAAAAGTTGTATTGTACAATATTGTATAATGTTGAACTCTGTGTTATTAATTTCTTACCTACATAAGGAAAAAAATAATCTAAAAGAAATAATCCAAGTTCAAATTGAAATAACGTCACATATGTTGTTGTGAATGCAGATTGTGTTAAGCACTTGATATTATTGTATCCATAATTTTTTTCCAAGTCTGAAATCAATTATCAATGATTCACTGATATGAATTTTATAAAATCATTCTTTTTCATAGGCTATGAAATATATAAAAACGAAGCTTTTAAGAAAAAAAAATTTACAATCACCTGATTTTTTTTAGAAGATATTGATACAAATTGGTATATAATATATTTAAATATCATACAATTGATATTTTGAATATCATAGGATTTACGAATTTCAAAACAAATGATATAAAATATCATGAAGAAACTTTTGTCTTACTAAGGAAGGATGATCTTTTTTCAAACACCTCGTTAGATTTATTTTATATATCAATATATTTATATTTGAATTTCAAATATGACACTTTTTATAAAGCTCATCAAATTTTTTTCAATATTCTGAAAATAAATAAACAAATTTACAGAATGTATGTATGTTATGAATAAAAAAAACTTCCAAAAATATAATTAGACTATTTAAATTTTTTTAAAGTATTTTTCAATAAATTACTATATTGAAAATTTACTATAATTACATGGCATAAAAAATTAAAATAAAATCTACTGGTATATTAAATGTCATAAAATGAAAAAATAAGATTTATATTCATTTCCTTATCTCAATTTGTTCTAAAAGTACTCAGTAAAGTCAAGATAGACTTGTTATGTAAAACTTCATTGGCAATGATAATCACCACTTCCATTCAACAATGTAAAAGCAATATACTCAGTCTTCAGGAAAGCTACATTGCTACGTCGGATTTTTGAGGTTATATTGGGGGATATACTCTTCTAACGGAAACAAATTAGTCTCTTCTTACTTGTTGCAACATCTCACAGTCTAGTAAAGGAATACAACTTCATCCACGTGCATTCCTTGCAGCAGTTAATACAAAATAGATTTAAATTTGATTCCTAACCAAAGTAATCTAACTAAAACATTTGAGAATCCTCAACTTGTACCAATATGAATTAATTGGTTCACTAGGAAAAAGCTAATGTTACAGACATTATGATTACCAATCCCACACCGAAGGCAATTTCACAATGAAAATTACCTAGTGGTAAACTCTTTCGTTACTTTTAAATAAGGAGCTATTTGGAGGAGAAAGAATACTAATCACCAATAGCTATGCTGTATAACCAAATATTCATAAATTCGGAGTGGTATCAAAGTTCATTGATGACTTGCCGTTTCCTTTACACTACAAGCAAGCTCTCTCATACCTGTCTCTTTCCTTCATCGTTGCAGATTCCCAGCATCCCAAATCAAGATTCCATATAATGATGGCATATTCGAACGAAAGAAGGCAAGAGGTTCATACAAATTAGACGGATGAGTACATTGCAAGGCCACTAATACAGCAAATTAAGAGTATAACAAGGGTGTCAAAATCCAGCTTAACTCAAACTGCAGAGAGTTATCGGTAGTGATCACTCAGGCTGAGTTTGTGAAGGATCCATCTACGAAATTGACACCCTGACAGAACTTGGGCAGCTAACGATCCAAAAGATGGGTGACAAAATGCACCGTACGTTCAGATCCATGCATTGAACTCCATCGAGACAGGTGGAGGAAACATGATCGTTGTTCACGTAAGAGGTCCTCAGCTCGCAGAAGTTGATTACCAGGATTCGAAAGGGAGACGAAGGTATCTGCATTTCGAAGGGCTAGCTGAGTGCGTTGTCTCGCATGCATCATCAGAATTTGACAACATGGCGGCGACGAAACTTTCGTTCATTAGAAATTTTGGAATCTGTTTCCTTCACTGCTCTTCTTCTTCTGAAGCCGTAACTGCATAACGGATTGTGGCCTTCAAAGACAGGTTCTCGTGAGGGAGGCAGATGGCTGCTTCTTCGATCTTGATGAGGATTTGCTTCACTGTGACAAGCATGGGATGATTTCGAAGCTGATAGAATGGGGGAATCAGAAAATTCATCGAGACGACCGAGCAGTAGTCATGGCCGCCTGAGCTCTAAAGACAATGCTCGTCCTCCTCCGGGGACAGGCGGGAAGGACATCTGGACAATTATATCGGAGAAAAAGAAAGCGGATGCTCACTCAGGTGATTCAATTATTTAGACAGCACAACCCTTTTCTCCAGGACAAAACTCTCCATTCTGCACAGCATGTCAAAATTGCCGTGACCATTGATTAGCATGTCTGCTTCCGCTAAGCGCTTACCACCAGCGCGAGTAGTCTGCTGAGCTGTTGCTGTTGCCCGCCCGATGCTTCGGATTCGTAGTGCCAAGTGTACCGCCAGGAATACTGTCAGAGCTTTGGCAAATCCTGACTCCGTAATCCACGAACGAACGAAGGGGAAGTGAATCGGCCGTACATAATTGTCAAGAGACTAACCCTTGAGTTTCTCGCACTGACACTGCTCAATTAACGACACCTAGAAACATCCGATTTCTGAAAACGAGAGGCTGCAATGAAACCCTGCGGCTGTCCCATTGGTCAGGTGGTGGGGACAGGCCCGATGCCCACATACTTGTCGTTGGCAGTCCGAGAGGAGGCAAGAGTACTCTCATTGCACGCTATCTCAATCCGGAAAAGGTATGTGGTGCCCTTTGTCAGCATTCTGTTGACTTCTGATCTTGCGGAATCAGAGTCTCGACGTCGTCGCTCAGAGTCGGCCTGGCCTTTCTATGATACTGCAAGCGGGCTACAATCTGCTCCTAGAAGCATAACCTTACAAACTATGGACCGTGTTCTGTGGTGCGTTGTACACGTCGCATGACCATGACATGTCAGAAATGAGACTAAACATCGGATTTCAAGGTCATGATGGGGCACACCATTCCCTTGACTCTGACCTTTCGCTGACGAGCAGGAAGATGTGCCGAAGCGAACGATAGGCCTTGAATATACTTTTGCTCGACGAACTGTATCCAGTGCGGTTAGCGTCGATCGGAAAGTAAGTCTTCAATGTATTAGTGGTAGATATTTAACTGAAATCTTTCTTGCTCTTGGAAGTGGGAGGAAGAATGTTGCTGCCAGTAAATCGGGTACACACAATAAAGCTGAAGATTGTTTTGGATACGAGCTCAAATTATCGACTCCTGCAAATCAGAAAAGTGTATCAAAGACTCTGTTGGTCGATCGCCCTGTTAGCTACAACTTCCTACACTGCGCTCTAGCTGGGCAGAGAGATGGAAAGGCATTTCAGGAGGATCACACAACTTTTGACAACTGGTTGTCAGTTATGCAGGACGTGGTTCATATATGGGAACTTTCGGGTCCAAGAAAACTGGAAGAGGAGCTCTTGACAGCAGAACGATTACTACTACCTATGAGCAGTCTTTCCACATCTGTAGTTGTCGTGGTCCTGGATCTATCAAAGGTTTGTCCTTGAATGATATTTGGACATGTCAGGTAGATCGATATCCCCTACCTACGTTCCTCTCGGTGGGATTCTGCGAAGTTTCGAAATCTGCACTGGACTACGGGTTCAAAATTTACATCCTAACTTGAGAGATCTATTCATTTCTGATCCTATATTTGATTAATATCATTAGTTGGAAATTCTTCACTAGCTGAAGCACAGCATTTGCAAGAAGAGGTCAAGCGAGGCAACGTTTGTGACCTTGATATTCTTGCTTGCTCGATGGCAGCCGTCCGAAGTACTGGACCTGCTCATATTCTGGCTGGACAAGGTGAGCTTGTTGAGGTTTAACGGGCACAACCTCAATCCATAAAGTGGAGACTGCTGTAACCATTCACTCACAAGATTAAAAGCATGTGCTTTAATAACTGAGAAATTGAGCAAAACAAACCCTTCAATTTTGCCTTTTTTTGTTGATTTAGATTCATAAAAGGATCGAAGGCTTCTACGAGAAGTTGAAAAGAAGAGGTTCGAAACTGCCACAACAGCTTGTTGAGAGAGAAAAGAAGGTGCAATGATCTACAATTGCACTTGACGGTCTTTGTGGCGCAATGTATGTACAACCATGTTGAACTACCAAGCGTCTGCTAAAATCAGCCGTAGGCTACTAATGAATGTTACTGCAGTTCAACCTGCAAGGCTGGTCATAGAGTAACTCCATAGGGTTCTAATTCGCTGTTCGAAATCACAGCTGTTTGGATTAGAACATGAAGATCTGGACGAAGTCAAGTTGTCTGGAGTTCCTGTCATCATCGTTGGAACGAAGGTTATTCAAAGCTTAAACCTGGAAACCCGAAAATCAATTTAACTTTAAGAATATACTTTTGAGCTCATTTTGAAGGACAACAGAGCTGGTGGTTCCACTCAGTTTCATAGCTATGGATGATAGATGTCTCGGACCCTGTATTGTCGTACGTAGACTAGGTGTTTCTACGATTTCGGACTTGATTACTTTCTATGTAATTTTATTGCCTGCCTGTCTACAATTCTAGCAAGGACCTCCCGACCTAACGAGCGTGTTGGATGATGGGACATAACAGTACGACTGTTTCAAGGTCGGTGCATGTGGTCTTCGCCTATGGCACCTGCCTCGCATTTTTGTAGATTAGATGGAACTTTCTCGTGTTACAGATTAAAAGTTCTGTGGATAGTCGAACAAAAGCAAATTTGCAATGAGATGGGAATCCGTAGCGAGCTGTGGTTATCATTGACCATTGGCACTTTCTACTAACTCTTGAACCTGAGCTTACTTACTCCAAATTCAGGATCAAGATGCAGAGCTGAGGAAGACAATGGCAAGAACACTGCGTTATCTGGCGCATACCAATGGAGGCACTCTGCTGTACACGACAGGCCTAAACAAAGATGTAATATCATAACAATCACCAAACTTGAGTACGCATTTGTTTCGTCAAGTACCACCCCATAGACAAATTCTTTCGTCATGCTGGATACCCTACAATCCACATGCTTGAAAACCTTGTTGACCGTGGAATGGTGTGAATATGTAGGTTCAAGGCGAGAGCAGAAGTTCTCATAGTGCTTTTCGGAGTATCATCAACCATTTAGTCTTCCACGCGTGAGTTTCTTCGTGCTCACATAATAATTGAAAAACTTCTTCTTCAGGATCAGAATTATTGAAGTACAAAAGTCGAGAGTTTGACCTGCGATTCTCTAAAGTTGTTCATGCGGATGGCATGACAATTGGAAACCTGATCCTTAGCACAAGAACCAGCAAACTTTCAGTATGAACAAGCCACAGCAAGCGTGATTGATATGTGGTTTTGACTTGGACCATTGAACCAAATTATGGTATCACCTTAAAGAGGTGATACCAAGCCTTGGATCACTAGAACACATCGATTGGTGTTATATAGTCTCCACTTATTAGCCATCATTGAACAAAGACTTCGGCCAATTATTCTTTTGTCTAAACATGTTTGGTTAGTCCATGCCAAAAATCTAGAAAGAATTCAGAGGTGGTGTCAGATGGGTTTGGGGCATGTCTAAACCCTTAGAAGTCTCATCAGACGCACAACTGTTTGATGCTTATCCCAGTGAAACCTGACGAATGTCTTTGTTGAGCCGATGTTTCAGGCCTCCCTACAGAGGTGTGGAGGTGGACCACTCAAGGCCATTAGTTATACCTCTTGGTCTTGACAGACTGGCAAATATTGGTCATCCAAGTGGCAAAGTAGCACATCTCCCTCCTATTTACAATTCCGTAACTAGTGTATATTAAATTCATTACACTTATAATGGTCAGGATTATTAGAGTGAGATTCTCTTGTAAAGTCTTCATTTTCTTTCTCATCTCTAATGTTTAGTGCTTTATGTCTTTAAAAGACTAGAAGTAAAACAACGGTCAATTAATGTTTGCTTAGAAGACTCATCCTTTCAAAAGCTAACGAATAAATATTGAAATTGTTTTTTTATAACTGTGTTTTCTTAGAATTCACAACTGAAAATCTCAATAAACTACCCGTTTGAAACTATCAAAACTATCAACAAAATGCTGCATAAAGCAATTAGGAAGTACTCGTACATCATTGCTCAAGAACAAGGATGACATCCCCAAACCTTAAATCCTGAATCCATGAGATTGACTTGCTACTGGCTGATAACATGGTCAAAGGACGATTGGATTTCTCACTTTCTCAAATTATTTCCCAGCCCTGGAAAGGGCCCCGTTGCGTCTAGGTAAGTGGTGAAAATCAACGCTTCATTGTCAATATCTGCTACCTCATCGAGAAAAAAGAGAGAGTAAAAAACAGATATTATCAACTGTGTTAATAGTGGACGAGGTTGGTATTCAAATAAGTCGGAAGTTGGAAACTTGTTCTGCTGCAATATTAAATATTTGAAAATTTCGGAAACTATGCTCCACATGGTTTGTAATGAGTGAATCTAACAGTTAATCTCTTGCAGAAAAAATGAAAATAATCTGCACCCGGAGAAGGAGATTGATGATCTTATTGCTCAAGTAAGTGAGCCAACATATGGTCTTTAATTATATTATTTTATGGTGTATTCTACCAACGGGGGACGTTTCTCAGATGGAGCATGCGAGAGGCACGGGGACCACTAACTTGCCTTTCCACAGTTTGTAATGGCAATCACGACCACAAGACTTTCTCCAATGTCGTTATTTTTCATATAATTTGTCTTTGCAGTGTCGTGCACAACCCTGGACCGTAAGAAAGGATGACGCTGGAGATATGAAGTGGAAAAATCAGGAATGAGGCGATGGAATCAGGTTAACAGTCGCGATATATACATGAACTGGAAAATATAAAATTTAGGGTTATTTCTTTCGTCTCTGTACGATGTTTTGAGTGCCGCGGCAATGTTTACTTGCATAGCAATTCACGAATTGAGAAGGTTAGTCGATATAAGTTATGTACAAGTTAAGCAGTACTAACAGAAGTAGTATCCCACACGAGCTAGGGGGGCTGTTGCGAAATTTTAAAAGGATGCTGAAACATGGACATGAATCTTCCGCAGAGTGAACTGCACTAGTGCTTACAGTCTACATTGTGTACGTACAGTCCAGTAGCAGGTTCAGTTTCATTCCCACTGCTGTGCAAATTCATTTAGAAAACGATAGCAACGAGTTGGCCAAGACTTTTCTATCATCCGCAAGTCGGCACATGTATTGAAGTGGATCTGAAAAAAACATTGGGAAGACTCCATCCGGCTGCACAGGAGATATCTAAAGGAGCTTCACAGGTTAGACCTTCAAGGCATTGAATAATTTTCTAGCGCGCTTGTTGAGTATGTACGTGGTACATGGTTCAACCATAAAGACGACACGTATCTACAAGACTTTATAGATGAAAGTCCAGTTGCAAGATTAGGGTTCTTGATTTTTCTTCTCAGCTGTTGTGATATATGTCAACCGTAACGGTTGCACTTTCGTTTCACATCTACCTCACAGCCAATCGACTATACGAATGATCCCAGAATCCAAGGACCACCACAACAGCTACCTTCGACATATACATGCGAAAAGCACGCAAGACGCATTATACACTTCATAACATCTATTCGTTCCTTTCCTATTTTGTTTGATAATTCCTCTTACTGTAAGGATCATCTGTGCCTTACGGGGAGGATTCGAGGTTGCAAGCAAACCAAGGGAAAGCGTGTAGTTTGGAGATGAAACTTCGGATGTTCACACGACAATAGTCGATGAGATGATCATTACGTCATAGAATTACAGGGACACCTACCGGACAGACAGGTCGTGCTGTCGCTCCGTAGGAAAATTTGACTTTTCTCTAACTGTGACTAATTTTGATTGATGTGGTCGAAGACAGCATCTGAATATGCGAGACCACACGGTAGTTTACATCCTTCGTCAAAAGAGCTAACATTAGCCAGTCCAGTCAACCTCAAGAGCTCCAGAAAGGGGAAGAGTGCGACTTGCTGCAAACTCCAGAAATGCACAAGCAGCAAGTAGTATACATGCGAGGCTTTATAACCACCTACTTTGTACTTGATATACAACATTTCTTTAAGTTATCTGAGATTCAACCATATCAACATATTCCTCTACACTGGCACGGCTTGTTCGGCAGCGACACGGTTCTCAGCTGGGATTTCAGTGAACTCGGACAAGATTGCCCTGAACTCCTCCCCACTCAAAGTTTCCTTCTCGACCAAAACCTCAACGATCTTGTCAATGGCAGCTCTGTTCTGGCGGATGTGTTCCAAGGCTACTATGTAAGCCTTGTCAGAAATGGCCTTCACTGCTCTGTCGATATCCTCGGCCAATCTCTCAGACATGGAGTTCCTAGCCATCATTCTCATGATAACATCTCCTCCTTGGGCTGATGGATCCATCAGAGCCCAAGGTCCGATCTCGGACATACCGAAAACAGTGACCATCTGCTCACATGCCACCAAAACGACCACTTAGATGTTGAAACAGCAGAAGTGGAGTAAGTAATCAGATTTACAAAACCTGAACCAAGCGAAACGGTGAAGCAAGTATATTTTGGATTGAGCTTTTACCTGCTTAGCCATGGAAGTCACTTGCTGCAAATCGCTGGATGCACCTGTTGTCACCTCAGCATCTCCAAAGATGATCTCCTCGGCAGCTCTACCGCCCAAAGCACCAACAATACGTGCAAAGATCTGTTGCTTGGAGATCAAAGAAGGATCTTCACCAGGAATGAACCATGTGAGACCACGAGCTTGGCCTCTAGGGATGAGAGTAACCTTTTGTACGGCGTCATGTCCCGGGGTCAAAGTTCTGTACACCAGGTGCAATTGATCAGTACTTATCCTTCTCAGTGCACACGCTAGAATATTGCTTCCTAACGCAAAATCCATTACTTATTCCCTGCACCCACTCTAGAGCATGACGAGCAACCGAGGCCTTTAGCGTTAGTTCATGATTTTCTGGGCTGGATTTGTCTGAACTGGAGTAGAATTGATCAAAGTAAGATATCAACTTACCCACAAACAGCGTGTCCGACTTCATGGTAAGCAACCAGACTCTTGCTCTTGCCATCGGTCATGACAGTTCCCTCCATTCCTGCGACGATCCTGTCAATGGAGTCGTCAATCTCCTTTGCAGAGATGGCAGTCTTTGCCCTCCTTCCCGTGAGGATGGCAGCCTCGTTCAAAAGATTGGCAAGATCGGCACCGCTGAATCCAGGCGTCCTCATGGCAATGATGTCCAGGGAGACATCGGGATCGAACTTCTTGTTTCCAGCATGAACCTTGAGAATTTCCCTCCGACCTCTGACGTCGGGAACATCCACGGTAACCTGAACAATACAGATACTTTTCCTGTGAGATTATGGGTGCACAAAAGGCATTCAAGAGGTGAATTACAAAAAGTCACCGCAGGAAAATCCAAAACACATAGAGCAGCTGAATCTACACATTCTGAGACTGAGTAACACTGAAAGTACCTGACGATCAAATCGTCCAGGTCGAAGCAGAGCAGCGTCGAGGATATCAGCCCGATTGGTGGCGGCAACAACAATAATTCCGGTGTTACCCTCAAATCCATCCATTTCAGTCAGAAGCTGGTTCAGAGTTTGTTCTCTCTCGTCATTGCCTCCACCGATACCGGTACCCCTCTGCCTTCCGACGGCATCAATCTCATCCACGAACACAATGCAAGGAGCATTTTCCTTGGCCTTCTTGAAGAGATCCCTCACTCGTGATGCTCCCACACCAACAAACATTTCCACGAACTCAGAACCAGAAATTGAGAAAAATGGAACTCCAGCTTCGCCAGCAATGGCCTTGGCGAGAAGAGTCTTTCCTGTTCCGGGTGGTCCAACCAGCAAAACACCCTTGGGAATCCTAGCTCCGACAGCGGTGAACCTTTCTGGTCTCTTCAAAAATTCGACAACCTCCATAAAGTCTTGTTTGGCTTCGTCTACCCCTGCGACATCGTCGAAAGTGACTCCTGTGTTGGGCTCCATCTGGAACTTAGCCTTAGACTTTCCGAATGCCAAAGGGTTGCCGGGTCCTCCTGGACCTCCCAAGCCTCCCTGTGACCTCCTGGACAGGAAGAAAAGACCTCCGACAAGGAGAAGGGGGAAGGCAAGGTTGCCGATGAGGTTCAAGAGAACTGAACCAGAATCTTCCTGTGGGTTGTGAGCGGCAAAATCTATATTCTTGGCCCTGAATTTCTGAAGCAACTCCTGGCTAAGACCCGGCAGCTGCACTCGTACTCTCTGAACCCTGAACCCCAACTCAGGCGACACAGCTTCTACAATGGCGATGGTTCCGTTTTCATACAAATCAACCTTCTTCACACGGTCCATTTCCAAGTACTCCAAAAATCTAGAGTAAGACATTCTGGAAGAAGCAACTCCCTGCTCATCGGCAGCCATGGCGCTCTGAGCCGCGAGCGCGGGAAGACCGACACCAGCAGCACCAAGAACACCCTTCAAAAAACCTCTCTTACCCTCATTAACACTCGATTCCTCACCGGCCGGGCGCGCAGAAGCCTGCACCTTGCGAGCTCTCGTCGACTGCTTCACCGAAGGACAAAGAAACAGCGACAGCTTCTGCCCTGCGAGCCCCTTGCGCAGGGAATTCGCTCCATCGGAAGCAACGAACGTCGGTGTCAGCTGCCCCGCCATGCCCGTCACCGCAGCCATCGTGCCTCCCTCGCGCGCTCGCAGAACTCACAAATTTCTCGACACGAAATCCTCTCTCTGCGCCCTCGTCTCGTCTAATCGTCGTCCTCTGTACTGCTCGCGGATTGCAGTCTTTTGAAGCTATTCTACGTGCGCTCAGAAGAGGGCCCGACGGACGGACGAGCGAATGTTCGGGTATAAGACGATGGCGCTCGCTTCGACGAGAAGGAATGGGCGCGGCCAACCAAAAGGGGAGCGTGCCAGGGAGCGCAACGACGGAGGCCCGATCGAACTCCGCTGGACAGCCACACACGCGCCCGGACCAGGATCAGTTCCAGCGTGGAGACGCGAGCAGCGTGGAGCGCTGTCCCGCGCCTCGTTGCCCGCGGTCGGATTACGTGGCGGGTGCCGCAACGTCGATCGCATGATTTGAACGGACCGAATGTCGCCCACGACTGACTGAGTGACTGACTGGGCACCTCGCTCGCCGTCGACCGTCGTCGTCGTCGCGTATGCACGGAAGTGAGACGAGGAGGATAAGAGTGCGTCGTGGCTGTGTGGCCACATCAACTCGGCCACGTGTCGTTGCGGGAGCGAGGACTGCCTGGGCTCCATACCCCGCTTCTGGTGTAGGACTGGTTCCGATCGTTCGCTTTGAAGGCTCATGTTGCTGCGCAGTCGAAGTGGAACTGGCCGGCTCGTCTACGTTTCCTCACAGTCGCAGTAGTCGGTCGAGATACTCGAACCACAGCAGCAGGCAACGATGAATTGCCTATGTAGTCTCAACACGCTGCAAAATGCATATTGTGTACACATAGCGATTTTTTTTTTTAACCATCGAATTTTCACCTGAAAATATGAATTTAGGGTGCGATGCAAATCCTGATTTTTTAAATTTTTTGTAAACTAGTATTTAAACTAGTTTAGTTTAAACAGGTGAAATAGTTTTAGAAATATTTTTTTCACATGTATAAATCTATTTTCTCACATTTCTATTAAAATGATGTACGACCTTGTATTTAAGCGTGATGCAAACATTGTCTGTAATAAAACTGTCATAGATCTCTATCCTTTCTTTCTTTATTATAAATATCACTAGTATCATTTCGATTTTATCATATAAAATAATGATAAATTTTTTGGATAGTGAAAATTATGATCATGTTACTTAATTTTTGACAATCGATTATTAATAAATTTTTGGAAAAAATATCAAATAATTATTTTGGCCAATAAACCGTCTTAATTTAGCATATAAATAAAGTAAAAATCAAGTACATACATTATCAGTAAATCAAATGCATTACCTGCAAACTTTCAACATTTTTCAAATCAATGAATCCTTAAGTTAATTTCAATTTGTAAGATCAAGTTATCAATCCTATATATTCAATCATATTTTCAAGAAAATGTATATGAGTATACATAAAAAACAACCAGATCTAAAAAATGCATTACTTTAGATGTAGAGTTCTTTCCTGTACACATCATGTTGAAAAGTATGATTGTGATGACAATATGAGTGATTGATCAACATTGTACTGAATGTAAACACATCATGTGCCCATTTCTCCATATACAATAATACAAATCGGCCTGCACTTTGATCAAATAAAATTTCTAGTCAGCAAAATTATGTTTTTTTAACTTAAATATGCATTTTAAGTGTAATATTTTTGTTTCTTACATACAACTAAAAGAGAATTATTCTAAAAAATCATCAATATAGTCTTAATAGAAATCCAGCTGTGAAGTATATAAAGGTTTCAATGATTTATTTTTACTTCAATTTATTTTTTTCAATATTTTTAAGCCTCAAATGGAATGATTAATTAAATACATTAATATATCTCATTTTACTTAGAATATGATTAAAAAACTTAAATTTAATAAAGTATCTAATCTTCTTATTCTTTGAAGTTTATATATATATATAATCTATTCCGATTATTTCATCCAGTTTTTTTAAACATACGTAGAAATCTGATTAAATACAGCATACCTCCCATGTGTGCATTTTTGAAAAATCACATTATGCACTATGCTGTCAACCTTCAGTATTGTGATACATTGTAACTTTTTCTAGGTAATATTGATTTGTACTATTATCAATTGGGTTTGAACGCATTATGATACTTGTGAATCAAAATAGTTATTTTCTTTTGTCGACATTACAATTAAACGAAAGTAATTGACATGACATCAACTGATTGATTGTCAAAAAATTACATAAGATCCGAGGAGACTACAGACATACAGGCGGACAAAAACGAGAAGAAGGGCTAGCTGATCCTCCTCCAGTGGACTATGTGCTTCATGTAATAACCGATACTACTCTGACCTGGATATAGGGCATGCGAGGGAATAAGCGATCCCTCCTCCTCCAGGCGCTCCGTTGTAGAAACAAGCATGAAGAGGGGCCTGGCAATGGGCTCGAGTGCAAAGGCCTCAAACCGCCAGATTATTATGTGGACACGGCCAATAGGAACCGGAACGAATATTAAAAGGTGAGCACACGATGATGATCTGAGCCCGCGTACAATGGACGTTCCTTCGGCAGCTGCTTGCAGACCGAGGCGGAGATGGTGGCGTGCGATTCTCCTCTTCAAAAATTCTGCTTTCGTGGAAAGATTTACGGCCTATTGGACTCTGTGTCCGTAGTCCTTGTGTAGAACAACCTTTAGACAACCAAGGGCGTATTGGAAGGGACTACACGGCATAGGGCCGGCACAAAAGTATCGAGAGCTGGACCCAAATGGCATCGGGCCGCGTATACGTGCCATCATCTTCTTGTTGTTGGACCCAATCGGTTTATCTTGACACAACACACGAAGTTGGTTCAATCTGAAGGGCAGACAATGCCCATGATCGATCAGTGACTCACCAAACTGAGCGATTCCTCGTCTCGACTTTCACCTATGTTGTCAGAATAAAACAAACCTGCCATAATATCGGGCTGCTCTAAGAACACGCTTTACTGGGCACGATAACTGCTTGCATTTCACATTGTTGGCCGAGATGTCTGATTTTGCCAGGGATTTTAACATGTCACATTCCAGACTACACACTATAATAAATAAACAGATCACGCAGTATTATGTCCAGAGAAATGAAGAATCCGGGATCGGCACAATCGTAACGACCTCTCGGCATGTCTCTCACTCGCTCAACAACGAAACTCACCACAACAACCCTCTCAACAGTTCACTCTAAAGACATTTCGTACGTTTCATTGAAGGTAATGCGATGTCATTAGCACATGCTGATCACTGATTTGCAAACTGAGCTTCTATTAGGAGTATCGACATTCAAATGGTAAATTCTGAACATGAAACTGAAGGTGCAAAGAACTCTACAAGATCTTACATTTCCGCTTCCTACAAAGTCGTCAACTACAAAATTGTGAGGGTGCATACTATTTACCGCGTAGCTTTTTAGACTTCTTCACGGCTTGTTTATGCTTGGACCTGTAGTCTGTCCTCAAGTCAGACTTAGTAGCCAGCCATTCCTTCTCGGCATTGGGCGACTTCATGAATGAGCAAACACCGCTGTCACTAGGGAAATGAATTTGCGGAGGAGCATCTACTTCGGAAGTTGCTAGCACTGATTTTGTCATCATATTTTGTCCAATGAAAGCTCCCTGTTTCTTCCTGTCAGGCTGGTTAGTAGCCAAGCTGGTCTTCGTATGATCATTTCCCTCTATGGGATCACTTCGAGACGAAATCTCTTCCATTGGAGTATCCTCTGCAGCTGGAGTCTCGTCTCTCGGTGTGGTCGCAGGAGGTAAAACTGCACCGGTGAGTTGCTGCAAAGAGAAAACCACACGTCCAGTTTCACCTACCAAGGATTTCCAAGTGGCTCTCGTTAGCTCATTCCGTTTTGGGGCCGGGGCTTCAGTTTCTTCTGAGCCATTAGCGGCTGCTACTTCCGTCTTGGAAGAGGGCGGAACTGTCGTTGCAATTTCGAGGGAACTTTCCTGCTCTTGCTTGGCCACATGATTCTCACCCACCGGTATACTCCTGAAGAGTTCGGCAGCATTGTCCTGGGAAGTTGATTCCAAGGCCGCAGGATTTGGAAGATTCTTCTCTGCTTCAGGAGACCCGACTGCAACCACGGGATCTATGAAGCTTGGAGCACTCTCGACTGCTTGTCCACTGTCCACCGGTTTGTCCTTGGAAAAATCCCGAGGGGTTTTCTCAGAAGTTGATCTTCGTGCGCGAGGCTTTGGAGGGTCTTTCTTTGATTGTTTGGTAGACACAACTGCTGCAACTGGCTTTCCTGACAATGGGGCCCTCTCAGTTTCGTCTATCCCGCTCACCCACAAATCAAGTTCAGGTTCAGAATCCAGGCTCTCATCCGACGAAGTGGCCCCGACAAAATACTCGTCTCTGTCCTCTACAATTGGCGGGGCATTTTCAGTTTCTTCCTCAGAGATCTCGTCTTCAGAAGATGTACCGCCTAAAAAAAACTCGTCTTCCGAGAGCTCTGCCTCATCCTCTGCTGATTCACTTCCCTCATCGCTGTCCCACATTGTCGAATCGGCTGGTTCTGGATCCAACCTCTCATCTGTCATTCTTGAGGAAGCCTTTACGAAGGTTGGTCCATCTTGGTTCTCGCCTTCGTCCTTGTGGGCCATGGGAGCAGCCTTCTCAAGCCTGCTCCCATTTTCTGACTCAGGAGGTGTTACCTCTGCCTCATCTCCATTTTCTGACTCAGGAGGTGTTACCTCAGCCTCATCTCCATTTTCTGACTCAGGAGGTGTTACATCTGCCTCATCTCCTGACGGTGATGGCGATCCCTCCTTCCTTTTAAGCCCAATCTGCACTTCATCTGCTCCGATAACTGAGCTTTTTGGCTCATTACTCGGTGTTGTGAGTTGCTTCGACTTCTTGCCCTTCTTCTTCTTTCTCTTCGCCTTCTTCTTCGGGGCCTCCGGAATGGGTTCCAAAGCCTCCTCTTCCTCTTCGCTTTCTTCTTCGTCTTCACTCAACATGAGCTCTAGTTCATCCAATTCAAACTCTGAGACTTTGTCTTCCCTTTTCTCGGGTAAGGGCGTGGTGTCCATAAAGCTCAACCACATTTCTGGTTCGTCCTCTTCCACCTCTTGCTCTTCTGGCGGACTCTGAGAGACTTTTGCAGGTTCACAGATTTCTGGTTCTTCCTCTTCCATCTCTTGCTCTTCTGGCGGACTCTGAGAGACTTTTGCAGGTTCAGAGATTTTCTCCTCAGCGGCCTTCGGAGTAAATTTCGATGGTTCTTCCTTACGCGGAGGTCTGATCAGCTCCATTCGATCCTCGCCAGTTTCTGCAGGGGACTGGGGACTTTGCGGAGCATCGATTTGTGGAACCATTTTCTTGTCCGTACCGACAGAAGAGAGACTCTTTTTCACCTCAACTCCAGTACTTGGCGACGTTGTCGAAAACTCCTTGCCCACTTTGGATTTCCTGAGAATACGAAAGAGATGTCATCGCAACTTCCATGGGCCATCTACGAAACGGCAAACACCAAATAGAGATAGTCGGAGAACCAGGTTTGCAATAAGTGCGCAAAAACGATAGTATTACAAACCTGGGAGAATCGGAAGGAAACATTCTGCTAAGCAGATCCAACTGCCTCTGCCGTTCTTTGGCAATCTCCATAGACACTGCTTCATCCTCCCCTATGCTCGCCAAGTCCTCACGTGCATAGCCTGCAACTCCGAAGTCACTTCTCGTGAAAAACTTTCAAAGCGACATCTTCCCGAATCCAAGTGGAAAAAAAAAACTTTGAATGTATAGTAATCAGTTTCGACCGAAGATAATGGCAGCCTACCAGATTGAATTTTTGAACAATCACAAGACCCAGTGCGCAGGCTCTTCTCACAATCGCACGTTGACAATTCATTCACAGGTAGGCTTTCCACGCGTTGGAAGCTTCTCTTGTGCTTCCCCAATCCTCTGCTTGGCACGGTCTTCAGCTGGATTTAAAATGAAGTAGATTCATGAGTTACACCAACACCAACCTACTTTTGTCCAATGAATTGACGGGAATTTGCAGAATGATACTTGAAGCGGCGTTCGCAACGATAGAGTTAATGGAAGTTTTGAGTGCTATAAACTACGAGGTTATGAAGAATTCCACAAGCACATTATGTACCTTCTTCAGGCTGGGAAAGAAAAGCTTCACACCGTCCACTTCGGCACCTTGTTCAAAGTCTCTTTTCTTCTTCCACTTGTCTGGCTTTTCTGGTTGTTCCAGCAACATAAGAGGCCACGACTTGGGCTGTTTTGGAGCAGCCAGGACCGGGACGTCCTCATCTTTGCGATTCCGTTCTGCCTCCTCGGCAGCTAATGCTTCGGCTTCAGCAGTCCATTCCTTCTGGAGTTTGTCCACGTAATGCTGCTTGGCCTGTTCGATGCGCAAAAGCCCTCCTCGCCATTTGCACCCATTGTACTGCAGAACAAACGCAACGAGATGAGGAAAAAGGAATGTCGGATGTTTGACAGTAATGTACCTCAATCAGCAATCAATTACAAGGACCCCGAAATCTTCAAGGACTTTTCTGGCTTCAAGCCAAGGCATTGGAAGAGGGGAAAAAAACAGAACAGATGAGTGACAGAAATCGATGATCTCAATGTCATACCGAGCTGATCAGTTTCTTCAAGCTGGCCTCACTCGAAGGAAGAAAGTCCACATACGCAAACCCTCGATGCGAACCATACTTTGCCGAAGGAATCGCTACGCTCAGGACAGTTCCCAACGGAGCAAAGCGCTCTTTCAAATCCACGGCACTCACTCCCGACGCCAATCCTCCGACGAACAAGCGGATTTTGCCCACCTCCTCCTTGTGATCCATGTTTCAGAGCGGAACACTCGACGACTGTCATACGGTAAAACCCACGGCCGAAATTCCCATCGCAGAGCAAATTGATTCCATCTCCACTAAACCCTACCGCCCCTGTGGCCCGAGGCACGGAGGGTGCTTCAAATCCGAGCCGGAAGGAGTCAAACGAAGTGCTGCTGGTTGCAATGTGATCGCATGCTGTGCACATTCATCGGGTGAAGACCACGACCACCATTGCGGGCTTGTCCATCGCTGACATCTCCGAATCGACGGGATTAAACCCCTCCAGTGCACTCCTCAGCCGCTTTCGTGTTTATTCGGTGAAAATAACGACCACATTTCAAGAGTTGGTTGTATACTTCCAAGTATATTACAGAAATATTACAGATCCAAATTCTCAGGAGCCCTGTGACGGATCGAATTCGCTGGCCTCCGGATGATGATACTGCAATTCTGTAAACCAACATGTACAATTGCTCAATAAACAGTTGGTGATTTAAGCTCGAATATTTATGAGAATGATTTCAGTTGATAAAGTTTTTATTTCGGTATGTGAAATTCAAAGACAACCCTGCAAATCTTGGTAACATGTTTGAGGATTAGTGTAAACATGAACTGAACGGAATCTAACTACTGAGTCAAAATTCTAATCCTTATCGAGAATCAAATATATATACTTTTTGTAAAGTGTTTCGACTTGACTGGTTGTATGACAACTGAAATGTATGGTTTCGTTGGGGAGTTGTATTATGTATGAAGTATTACATAATCTATTTACCCTACAACTATATTTTGTTTTCTATCATGTAGGACAAGTATAAGCATATAGTCAACTTTTGATATAAAATATCTCTAGAAATAAGAATAATGTCTTCATGAGAGCTTACAGAAATGTTTAGTAGGAAACCATTCACTATAATGAAAAATCACTTTATCAAACATGTAAGTTTTAATAAAAAATTAAATTAATCAAAATTGACAGTAAATTTGTTTTATTTAATACGTTGACCAAAGTTATTTTTTCTAAATCAAAAAGCTTTGTTTATCAAAAGAACAAAAGCAGATCGTTTTGCTATAGCAAATAGGGTAAGCGCGAAGCGCGAACAGATGCTGTGGGGCTTCCACGCCTCTCCCTGCATAACTATAAAAATTTATTTTACGATACAAGTTTTATATGAGAATCACAAAGAGAATTTACTAACAATTTAGTTAATTCTTTATATATTTTATTTTATCATATTTTGAATACAATTTACTTTTAATTAACTCTAGTTTTAAAAAATATATTTTTCAAATATTAATCTAGAATTTTCGCATATTAAATATATATGATATGATGTTTAATGTACCCTTGACATTTGTTAAGAAGAGATTGTTAGGGTATAATACACGTTTGCAAACTAGTGTTTAGGGTTAGAATTTGTCGGCTGTAACTTAGTTTGTGTGCCTGCTGCACTTAACACTTTGAGTAAAATCGTGAGATCTTAAAGTCAAACTATATTATCTTTTGTGCTACATCTGTTTGAGTTTTTTCATGGCCGCGATCATGTGCACAACATTCATATAGATTGTCAACTTCTATAATAACCCACATTGTCACATGAGTGGGATTCTATGGAAGATCTCTTGGTGATAGTGGACACAATCACTCTATTATCATACATAAGTCTGTAGCCATCACCTCTACCGCTGCCATAAACATCACACAAGGACATTTTGTATAATCAATCTTGTAGTCGTACTATTAAATCTTGTTTAATTGAAGATATGGGATGTGTTGGATTCAGACTCTAAATGCTCGTGATGCTAGCAGGATGCATCTACTGGTGTCATCAAATTGTCCACCCTTCTGTGTTCATATTCCCTCTCCCACCCGTATCAGTCCTCTTGTTTATATTCCCTCTTTGATCTGCCACTACATATCCATCCACTACAATTTTGATCGACAAGTATAAACCACAAATCTTGCAGACAAGTCATCCAGTAGCCTTGAGGCTGAATATTTTTGGAAAGCAAAGCATTGATACAGACTTTTGCGTGTCATATCTGGGTGTGTATTTTATCCTAGCACAATAATGTAGGAATGCGTTGATCTTGTACTTACTGTATTCACATTCTCTCTTTCTAAGCGTTCCTCGCATTCAATTTTTTGGATTTGAACTAACGTTACCTATTACGTTCAAGAATCATGAAGAATTCCAGTAAAGGTTTTATTTTGATCTAGATAATCGTTGTGTGCTTTCTTGGATCCATTATTAATGTGATGATAACAACTCTGGTGTAACTGCGCATGAAGATTAGTCACTTGTTTTTAATCTAGACCACCAAAAATTTGGCATTCTATTCTTAGATGCCAAATTTGCCAGAAGTAATATGGCCAATCTGCTAGAACAGGAAGGAGTGGAGGAATGCGTGCTTTTGGGACCGATCTGTGGGTTGCAAACCTCAATGTGTTTTAAGGTTATCCAACTTTGCATGTAGGTGACCAAGTTTTGTGTCCTACGTAATTAACACTGAAGAGCAAGTTGCGCTGAGAAAGAGAGAGAAGAAGTAAAATATTCAGCTGGTGTAAATTTCATAATCTTTTTTTCAATTTTTTTCCCACTTCTATAGTATGTTTGTTTTGATTATTGTGATTTCATTCTTGGCTCTAACAGAAAGTCTCAGGTATACTTTATATCTATCATTCATTTTTCTCATATCATATCGGTAAAATGTTTGTTTTGATCATTGTAAGTTTTTTAGCGTTTCTAAATGCTACTTCGGTTCAAAGCGACATCAAATCGGAGAAAAAATTTCCAACCAACCTGATTAGACTTTTCTTGGCGTACATTGTGCATGCTAAGCAATTAGAAACAATTGAAACGATTATCGCTAAACCCTCCGACGAAAAACAATCAAATCATAGTGTTAATGTCAAAAATACCAAAATTAAAAAAAAAATATTGCCAAAATTACTTTAATTGGGCAAACCTGGCATTTGTCATTGTCTTAATCTGAACTACATGCAACTAAGTACCAATCTCAGTATGTTTATAGATTGCAAAGAGATTCAATAATTTGTAATACAAAATTTGGGATATTACTTAGGGGATTGTTCAATTCACCCCAGAGTGGTTAAATTTACCCACGGTCGCGGGGTGCTTCCTCTAACAACGAAAGTTTCTAAGCAGTAATTCGATTTATGAAGTACTCTCCGAATCTTTCATCTCCGTTGCACTTGTTCAGAAGCAGTTGGTTGTACACCGTAATGCAGAGAGAGCAGAAAACTAATACTGGAAACACAACCTGCAGAACTTTAATCTCCCACTCTCTCATTTGTCTGTCATACATTTTGGGTCTTAGATGTACAGTAGAACGGGATCGGAAGACCAATATTAGATTAGGGAAGTTATTAGTTAATGGAGGTCGGATATAACCGCCTCCCTCTACGTTGGGAACCGGCATACATTTTGGGTCTTAGATGTACTGTCTAAACTAATACTGCTGGGACCGGACCGGAAGACCAGTATTAGATTAGGGAAATTATTAGTTAATGGAGGTTGGATATAACCGTCTACTTCTACGTTGGGAGCCGACGTCTGTATCAAATTATGGAGGTTATTGTATTGACAAATTCTACTGTAATTGACATTTCATCTTTATTTAAATATTTATATCTTTTTTGTGCATGATTTCACCAGAATCCACAACATATTACAGTGAGTTTCACACCTAGGAAACGTAACAATACCCTGTTTCTTTTACAAATTTGGCCTATACATTCGGAAAAATCATACCTTCGTATAGTAGAGTACGAAATTCACAAATAAGTTTTCAACTGTTGACTTCCACAATTCTTAATCGTCGATACGATCTGAATATTCCGCATGACGTCCATCTTTGTTCTCGGTAGTTCATGTAGGTACCAGTCATAGTCCGATGTAGACACTGTATTCAGGATTACGGCTAACAGTTTTACTAGCCTTGTCGTCATATTTCTGATCAACAGGAAATAGAGGGTTTAGGGACATCAGACATCCATGTCCGATCATTTTCTTAAGTGGTCTGCAGCATCTCCATACCTTTACTTTGAGTGTGTGAAAAATGCTTCGCGTTTGTTCTTCGATACTGTACAAAATTGTCTTCTTCGCGAGACCGCCATTCGAAACTATTCGAGGTCATTCTACATCAGTATATCAACTAATATACAGGTTCACTACGGTAATACATCTATCAGATTGGATATGCTCAAATACCATTGCGTATGTCATAATATGTTTACAGGATTCTTCGATGAAAACATTAACTTTTTATGTATGAAAGTGAGAATGAAGGTTGCAAGCAACGGACATCACGTCGAATTGTTCATTCACAAGAATGATGGGGACTTACACGAGTTAAATTACAATGCCGAAGATGTGTATAACAGGCACATCTGAACAAATCCTCTCCAACCTTTCCATTCCATCTCAACCGCTAATTATCATTTCTAAGATATGTTAAACATTTTGTGTACTAAATATAAATCTTATATGTCATAGATTACAAAAACTAAACTCTACTTAAAAAGTCAAGACGTCCTATTCTCAGGGTTCTGATGTACATTCAGGAGGTAAATATAACAGCAGCTGAACATTGTGAAAAAGAAAGTAAGTCTGGACACGCTAAGTCCAATAAGAACGTCGAGCCCAGATGAAGATTCTCACCAATCCATTTGATCTGCTGTATGCGATAGTTTATAAACAAGTCCAACAAGGTATATTATGGAGCAGGTTCTCCCTCACAAGTGTACTTTACACCTACACGAATGTGAAGGAACGCGGCGCTTTGGGGGGCTTCCGGCAATCTGACGGCATCCAACCGATTTGATGCTCCACGTTGTCATAGACTACCAAGTGTCCTCGTAGGGAAATATCTGTAAAAAGACGTTGAGACAAGTAACTACTCAGAACTAGACCGAAGCAAACCTAAAATGCATCAAAAGTCGGTCTCATGATTAAATCTTCTTCTTTCAATGATTTGAAGCTTATTTGAGCTTGACACATTAGCACTTACAATTATCCATACTAGAGAGCAACCCGGCCAGAGACCAATAACCAGACACATAATCAAACATTCATATAATACTATGGAAAGATACTGCATAATACAAGACATGTGCCACCAATTAGAAAAAAACATGTTAGAATACATATTACTCTCTATTACTTCGGACTTGTACATTACTTTCCTAGTTGTTAGGATTGAAAGATTACTGCTTTACTAGTACTTAGTATGGATAACACCTGGGGATGCGACCCTTGAATGGGTGCGTCCCATGATAAGAGTGTGTCTCACTGTCAGGGGCATATCCCTCTTGGGAGATGTGATCGTGAGTCTCTCGCAGCCTTTGGTCCTATCCGGATTGAGTATTTATATCCAATCCGGGACACCTGTGTTCATCCATCAACCAAGCTTCAACCCTTCCTCAACTGTGCGTGATCTCTCACTCTCAATTGCTCATCTGATCTAATATGGTATCAATTATCTAAGAATTACCTGAAGAAGCGCATCAAGATTCTGAGATCTGATAATGGTCTGGAATACAAATCTTGAGCTTTTACTGTCTGCTTCCCGGCATTCACTGACAGTTTACTATACCTGATACTCCCGAACAGAACGGAGTAGCTGAAAGAAAGAATCGAACTTTGATCGATTGTGTTATAGCTATGCTAACACATTCTGGTCTGACGCATGGCTATTGGGGCGAAGCCATCCATACAGCTGTTTACTTGCAAAACAGATCTCCATCGAAGGCTCTGCCCATTGCCAAAACCCCTTACGAACTTTGGCATGGACAGAAGCCCGATCTGAGCCACTTGGAAGATGTACTGCCTTTGCCCATATTGAGAAAAGCTATCGGTAAGATTGACCCTAAGAGCGTAGAATGTATTTTCCTTGGTTCCTCTCCTACAGCCAAAGGATATCGGCTACACTGTAAAGACTCTCATAAAATTACTGAGAGTAGATCAGTAAGGTTTAGGCCTCTTGTTGTTCGGGAATCCAACTTTCCCCATCAGCAGACATCAGCTGTTCCGCCTAATAACCAAGAAGGTTTTTTCTTTCGCCATTTACCTTCAAGCTGATCTACTGCTCCAGATTGCCGGGTTCCTCTTCCACCAGCAGTGGGAGTGCCGCCAGCAGGAAGGCCACCCGCAGTGGGAGCCTTCAGTCCAGAAACACCATCACCTGGAGTGGGAGCTCCACCAACTTCTTCCACTACTGTGAGTAATCCTACTACAGCTGCTGAAGTTCCCGCGACTTATCCGGCCCATTTTGGTAAGACTTATCAGAGGCGCGCCTGGAAGTCTCGGGAGAAACTTGATGATATGGTTCGCAACCTCAAGCACCACTGGGTGAACTCAGAATTCAAGATAATACATCTGAGACCCCGGCTGCTCAACCTCCTGATCCTACAGCAAAGGGAGCAGCTTCATCCTCTTCCCAGACAATCGATCCTATCTTTCGAAGGGGGAAAGAGTTAGGAAAAGAGTCGAAAAATATGACCAATTGTTGGAAAAGAGGAAGAAGAAGCATAGAGGTTTAGAGGTTTAGTTTCATATCAAGAGACTCGCAAAGAGTCGACCACCTATCAAGAAGCTTTACAAGGTGGAGATTCTGTCAAATGGAAAGAAGCAATGGAAGACGAATTTTCTTCTTTGAAGAAAAATCAAACATGGACGCTGACAGAATTACCTGCGGGCAAGAACGTCGTCGATTGTAAATGGGTTTTGAAAATCAAATACAAGCCAGACGGTTCTGTGGATCGCTACGAGGCAAGGTTAGTAGCGAAAGGATACTCACAGATTTACGGTGTCGACTTTTCGGAGACAATTTCCCCTGTGGTGAGGATTACATCTATTCGGGTGTTATTGGCTCTAGCAGCTCAAAACAGAATATATAGATTCAGCTCCAGCTTTGGACAAAGGTCCAAAGCTGGAGCTGAATCTATGTGGTTAAGAGAAATATTGAACGCTCTAGGTTTCGACAACCATATTCTGCGACAATCAAAGTGCTATTGCACAAATAGTGAACCAGAAGAATCATGAGAAATCTAAACATATCGATATCAGATATCACTTCGTCAGGGACCTAGCTTGGTCAAGCTGATTTATCTCCCAACCGAGGACATGATAGCTGAGGACATGATAGCTGATATCATGACAAAACCATTACCTAGAGAAAGGAATTGGTGTCATAGTCAGAATCTGGGTTTATTAAATAAAAATGAGGAAGAGAGAAGTAAGTAGGTAGCAAGTCGGAGTGTTAGAATACACATTTTTCTCTATTATTTCAGACTTGTACATTACTTTCCTAGTTGTTTGTCCTAGTTGTTAGGACTGAGAGATTACTGCTTTCCTAGTACTTAGGATGGATAACAACTGGGGATGTGACCCCTGAATTCTAGTTTCCTAGTACGTGTACATTACTGTACTAGTTGCTAGGACTGAGAGATTACTGCTTTCTTAGTACGTGTACATTACTGTCCTAGTTGTTAGTACTGAGAGATTACTGCTTTCCTAGTACTTAGGATGGATAACAACTGGGGATGTGACCCCTGAATGGGTGCATCCCATGACAGGGGTGTATCCCTCCTGGTGCATTTTGTATCCTTTGGACCTATCCGGATTGGGTACTTAAACCCAATCCGGGACACCTGTGTTCATCCATCAATCAAGCTTCAACCCTTCCTCAACTGTGCATGATCTCTCACTGTCAATTGCTCATCTGATCTAATAAGAAAAATAGTGGTTTGAGAATATACCACCAATTATGTTCACTGCTTCACTGGCATCGCTACCTGTCTCGCTCCAGTCCATGATACCCATGCAGACGTTGCCCTGTGGCTGTAAAAATTGCAAATTACCGTGTGAGAAGCTTTCATTACAAAAATTTCTAATTAACGACCCCATGGAACAAAATAAAGGAACTGAGGGAGAAAATAACCATTAAAACACTTAATTAACTACACAACCGTACAAGACCCAGTTGATGATGATACTTATTCTTGAGCACCACCATTTTATATTATGTTACGAACATATAATTTGACTGTCAAAAACTGAAGACAATAACGCATGCAATGGCCAGGCCGTTCTACTATTACACCAACCATGGTGAGGGTGAAGGAAAACATACAGTTATGACAAGATAAGCTTGCGGAATGAATATCATGAAGCGACTCGCAAGAAACCATGATGTTCCGAAGTTAAGCGTGACTGGCTGAAAAGAACGACTCGCTTCGGAAACACTCCTGCAGTTCAAAACAAGCAATTCTTCAGTCCATCTTTCAATCCTTTCACATCCTACCAAACACAAATCATCGATGTAAAAATAGAACACAACCTCCAACTCTCTAAATAAACAAGTAAGATAAAATACTTTCTACATGGTTGGAAAGAGGGCGTAGTCAATAATCAGTCTATCAAAAGGAAAAAAACTTATGTTTAATTCCAAAAGTCTACGTACAATATGATCTCCATCATGATGAATAAAATCCGTCCAAAATTATTATACTCTGGATGATAACTTGTTTCTATACATAACTGTAGGTTGTCAAGGATCACTTTTTGGGACTTACACCACGCTACTCTTAACATTTTATTCGTTCCTCACATACTGACCTGAAGGGAGTTTTGCCACGCCAACAAAGTGGCAAAGTTTGGTCAGACGTATCTCGCTCCAGCCCACTACCTTCTAATCCTTCTTGTACCTAAACACATGCAGCATAATCAGATCGCTTCATCTAGTCTCTTTTGTGTTTTAAATGTTGAGCACTAGTTCGATGACGAGAATGACGATGACAATAGATGTTGAATTTTAATGGGAGGTTGAACCCAAAAGTCAAGGAAATATAAACTTCGTCAATCTAAGGTTATAAACTATCAAGACGAACAGAAATATCATAAAATACAAATAAAATTGTCCTGCGATTTTTGTCATGACAGCTTAACCTGACGTTACTATGCAAAACCAGAAGGCCAGAAGTTCAATAGAGTACATCACAAAGATGAAACATTTGTGTTTCTAAGTGCCAATAGTCCTCATTACAAATCTCTACAATATTCATTTGTGGTATTTACAAAGAGGTTAGTATACTCGTCAACCATCATGTTCAGATATGCAACTAATAAGTACTATATGCATATCACAAAAGACTGCATTGGTGAGGTTAAATATAATTGTAGCATTAGTTATAAGCAAGAAAACCAGAAATAGAGAGTCAAGGTACACTAACCGCTGAAACAAATGCGGAGTAAATTTCTGGAACAAAATATGTATATGAAGTCCCGCTGTCAAAAATAAAATCGTTTCCTTCTAGAACGTCTTTGCCGATGTCCAATGTAGAAAAGCCATACTGAATCTTTTGAACATTAACGTAGTAGTTTTCCCTGCATCAGACCAAAAATAAATAAAGTTATAACCAAGTGCCTTAGATGTATTGAAAAGCAATAACTCCATTCAATCTTTCAATGAATGATATGACAGTGAAATGTCAAGGTATAATTTGCCCCTACAGATATAATATGCAAAATAGAATGATCTATTGATTACATACAGAATGATATAACGCGATGAAATTGTTGATTTTCTAATTACCACACTGGCCTGAAGAATTAGTATCAATAAGCATCTCGGGGAGGACACTGGAGAAGATCATAGTGATGGTTGACCGCCTCCCCCTTGTCTAAAAATTTTTTGATGTGGCCTGAAGAATTAGTATCAATAAGCATCTCGGGGAGGACACTGGAGAAGATCATAGTGATGGTTGACCGCCTCCCCCTTGTCTAAAAATTTTTCGATGTGCCCCGGGGCGTGGCGCAGAGTGCGGCATAACCCATAGCATATAGGTGATGGGTAATCATCTCGCTCGGGGAGCACTTGATGATATCGTGAGAGTGCACGGGGAAAGGCTCCGCAATTGAGCTCTTGATTCTATGTATTCTGTTGTCCGAGTGAAAGAAAGAAAAGTAATTACGATGATAAAAAAAAGCTTCACATGGTGCATTTCCCTGTTTTCCTGGTTCCTGCATATACAGCCATTTAACGGCTACCACGAAGAGAAAAACATTTGGTGAACTATAAAAGCTATTTTTGATGCAAGAAGCGAAGCTCTTATTTCCGATTTACAGCAATGGATAATGTTGATAATCCTTTCCCTATATAAGTTGTAAAAGTAATTTACTAACTTTTACTATAAGCAAATACTAATTTGAAAATGAAAGTTAGACTTTGGATGGTGTTCAGCCACCATCATCCACCAAGAAAAAATAGTCGAGTATTTCAAGCATGAGGCTGAAATTTGAGCTCTGAATATCATAGCTCAATGAAATTTGAACTATGATATTCAGAGTTCATATTCCTAGTGTGTGTCAAGCTCCTTATTTGTAAGGAAATCAGGAGTTTGATACACACCTAAACAATGATCATTCTTTTGGAATTCACACTCCAGTTGGATTGTTTATTTGATATCAAATAAGTGGAGTGTGCTACATAACGGTTTAGTAGTGTCTCCCTCAACGTAAGAGAGAATGATAAACAAAAAAAATCAGGTAAGTCTTCAGTTACTGTTTAAAGGTATGGAGGTAATCCTAGTCAGTTGATGCAACAAAGTTCAGAATGAAAAAGTAAAATGCAATTGACTGCATGCAAACACTTAACATGCAAGAATGCCATGAGATAACAAGCTTTGGATTGCCTTTATATTTTGATACACAATCCAGTAGATGTTCCAACCATTTGGCATCTAATAGTTGCGACAGAAAAAACCACTAATAATATGTATAGATTCCTTACATAACTATACCTCGACTATGAAATAATCATAGAATGATAAATTACATTAAGTTATACGAAGTACCAAAAAATTCCTAAAACCGATAAATATAATATGGATTTTTGGAATACACTCTAATATGGAAAATATGTGCAAATCGTAACTCCCATAACGAAACATTCAACACTGGAATAACAATCGAATGATGAATTATCATAAGTTATTCGGAATACCCAAACCCGTATATATCGTATGGACTTTTGAAACATACTCTATATGAAAACGTGTACACATATTACGTATTATTCCGTATCATATACATTGATAATATCTCAAAGGCGAGGAAAAGCCTCCTATCTACTTGTCCAACCGCATGGTTTGCTGCAGATTTTAGAATGGCAGATCCATCTGAATTGCTTTAAGGTTCATATGACAGAATGATGGAGGACTAGGTTATGCTAAATACCAAAAAATCCATACATGTATGGGTTCTTGGTATATACTCTGATACAGGATATATGTACAACTCGTACGTATATCCCGTATCAAAGTATATTAATAACAAGTTCAAAGAAAGATGTCATTTCTACTTGTGCAACCGCGTGGTTTGCTGCAGATTTTAGGGTGGCAGATCCATCTGAATTGCTTTAAGGTTCCTGTAACAAAATAATGGATTGGACTAAGTTATGCTGAATACCAAAAATCCTTACATATCGTATGGACATTTTGGTATATAGCGGTATAAAGTATAATCTTATTGTTCTCCGCAATGAATAGATTGTCATATTAAACAGGATTTTGGGCTCTATTCCTATTACTTATGAGAGTTAACACTGTAATGCATAAAAAATGTCTATGAAGGAGTTAAAAAAGGGATGGACAAGAGCAAGTTGAGAAATTGTACTTGTAAGGCTTCCTGACCACCGGCGTCCACGTCATGCCCCAAGAAGGAACAAGCTCGTCGCCAAAGAACATATAACCTCCTCCATGATTTCCACCCGCTAGACAATGGGCTACAACGTTCTTCACAATCCCATTAGCAGCAAGTTGGGCTGGAAATGCTACACTGGCGCTGCTTAAGCTAAGCAGTCCATCCGTTTTAGAAGGCGACTGGGCGAAAGATCCTTGTTGATCATATGAACACCTGTGGATCAACGGTCACAATATCGTTATTCCCGCACAGTGACCACTTTTAAACACTACATAGCAGATAGATAGCCATAACTATAGATGAGAAAGAAACACATCGCAAGATCTATCACCACTTGCTCTATAAGCTTTGATGTGGTAAAAAACAACCTTAAGTAGTGCTAAAAACAGGTTCTGGTTAGAAGCAATTTCACAATAGTACATACAAGAAATAAAGACTATCATGTGTAGTGCATGCATGTGCACTACACATGATTGCGTTTGATTGAAGTGTTTGAAATTCCAATTGAAATAGAAAAATGTTTTTCCCCGTGTGGTTTTACTATTCAGCCGGGCGATTCTACAGCCGCGGAGAAACCACTTCCTAGCGGGGCTCTAATGCGCGTACATGTGATCACTGCGTATATATAAGACTACCCAGCCGATAGCTGCACTGCACAGCCGAATAACATTTGCCTTGAAATATATATAGGGGATTATGGTAGTCACTAATTGGATCAAAGAATATGGTGATGTAAATTCAAGAGGAGTGAAGGTAAAAAAATTGCAAAAGGACAGAAATGCAATAAAAGAGTTTCAATTAAAAACCTAAAAAATGCATTCTACCAACCTCCTTCGACCTCCTTCACCTACGCTGTTTCTAGCACATAAGTACTTCTTGATGATTTCTTCATGTACATCCGTTTTTTGCGTCGCTCGATTGTTTCATAAACATAACTAGTGACTGATATAATTCTAAAGATATGCATGAAAAAATCTCCTACCTCCTGAACTTTATATCATCCATCATATTCTCTCTTAACTATCACATTCTTATAGTTTGTATGGGTATGACAACGAAAAATTACATACCCGAACACAGCTTTCGATTGAGCCAAGGTACCATTCGTGAGTTGGAGAGAAACCAAATCTTCCAATAATACTCCAGTGGTTGAACTACTATCTCCGTACTGGATTTCATAATCGCATTGACCGCCTCCACCAGAGCATCCGAATGAACCTCCTCTTTGCAATTGAGAACAAACAGGTTGTTTACAATCAACCAAGTTTGCTCCCTTTGGGTTGTACAATGGATGAGGAGTCTGCAACCAAACGAAATTCTCTTGAGACTAGCTTCTATCACCCTTAGTACCTAGAACTCAAATACAGTCGCAACCAACATCCTGAAGTTTGCGAGGATGTTCACTTGCTCTAATATTTGGCCTCACCTCAGGACAGTTGGAACAAGGTGCATTACACTGCAGCCAAGTAAGATCACTGCCAGTATCAATATCCAAGAAGTAGGGTCTCGCTGGATTACCCACGAGAAGTTGCATATAATATAATCTGCAAAAGCGAGCGTCGTAAGTAAAATCAGAACAAATAGTTCCACTTAGAAGTAATTTCATTTTGAGTTTTTTGGTGGCATGGTAAGCTGCTCTATCCAGAATGATCGCAGGAACATGCGAGGAAATAATCTTATTGAACTCAATACCTGAAAACCCTAAAATGAATACCGTTGACTTGTCCGTGTAAGGATAGTTTATGTAAATGACAGCGGCTTTGATAAACACTCAAAACATTCCGTAGCAACTCAGACACAAAGGTGAAGAGAATTATATTTAAGCTACAGCGTGTGAGAAGCGCATAGTTCCTCCTATGTCAATCAAAGCACAGTTGATAGGAAGGCAGAGGTACAGAATGAACATTGCGTATCAAGCAATTACATCCAGTGGACGGGAACAATGTGCAATAAACATAGACGCAAGCGGATGATCTGAGTGTCGCATGAGGTCGTAGTACCCGTCTGGATATATATTTCCGCGGATTGGAAACACACTAGAACCGTTGATGTTCTCCGGTGCTGCTGCCTGCTTTACATGTTCCCATAGAGTTCTTCTCCGAAAGTCACGTTCGTAAAGTCCATCCGTTGCCACATAATCATCAGGACTACTATTACCTGGTGCCATTGAAACTATGTGTTTGGCGTATAGCCTGTGAACATGCACCCAATCCTCACCGTCGTCCCACTGTTCTTCTATGTAGTAAAAAGAAGGACCCCGAAACCATAACAAAGCAACAATTGCTAGCACGAACATGAAAAGTATGCCCCTTTTCAGACCAATTTTCTCTAGTACTGGTCGGCCCCCTGGGGGAGGAGTGGGATGTTGTACAGTCTGCGTTGGAGAGGGTTCAATTTGGAGACTGCTTGTAACGTGATGATGTTGTTGCTTATCCTGGAATGTAAATGCAGCGCATACAGTCTTTCCATCGCCCTTTCCATCGCCCTCGGGAACCGATATGATCACCACTCCCCTCACCTCTGACGACATCATTGGCCGTTGCTCTCGGTTCTCCATTTCGGTAGCAGGACGCCTGGTTTGCGTCCAATTTCCTAGAACTACAGAAAGTACACAACTGTCGAAGCAATCAACTCGAGCTAAACACGCTTTGGAGGTCGGACTCCAGATTGCAACGCATAACAAAATTGATCGCAATTGTATACTTCAATCTTGAGCAACCTCCATGCTCAAGATCAACATACTAAACTCTCCTAGCCCTTAATCCTCGGAGCCAAACTACGTCAACCTACAATCTAAGAAAGCCGGAGCCAAAGTCCGCTCGACGCAACGCGACCTGGTCAATTCATGCAAACGTTTCGAACGCCGATAACCTATAACCCAATCCAGCACCAGCAGGAATTCTCGTTCGTCCCAATTTCAAGATTAGTGCATCAGGGCTAGAGCCCAAATTTCCGCAGAGCATTGGCCGCTCCCGAGCGGGAGCAGCGTGCGAGCCCGAAAAGCCATTCTCTACCAGATGAAAGAATCTCCGAGCAGAGCGACCATAACTTCTCGAGGATACATTCTCCGCAAGACGGGCTACACCATCCCTTGAGCAGATGGGGCTATTCTGCTACATCCAACATGCGCCGTGTCCTCAGCTCCCAAGGGAAAAGAACGTGTCGCTCGGCCGAACGACCTTGTCAAGCCCGGTTCTAAAGAACTTCGGCTCCTTCCCTCTTAAAATTTGCGGAGATAGGGAAACCACCAAGAAGCTTGTCCTCGGTCACGAAGTCAATGAAAGTCCTCTTTTCGTAACTGACTGAACCCCAACCCTTCCTTCCTCTTCTGCAAACCGAGACTGAGCAGGAAGTCGCAAACATCATTTAGAGCGTATGTAGAGAGTTGATGTATTTTTCGCCTACGGGTTGAGAGTTATCGGCGCAGATCTCCAAGTAGAGAAACTCTACCATATTATGTACACATATGAGTATCAATTTCATCATGTAATTTGATAATAGAATACTGTGGAATTATACTCTAGTGCTCCATCGATAATTAGTTCTCTCAAAACTTTCCACTGCCCAAGTGGGGTAAACCATTGTCCATTCACTCCTCATTGAAATACTAGAATATTTCAATATTATAGATGATATCAGTATGTATGTATAAGTTTCTTATAAAAAAAAATAAGTACACCTTAAAAAGTCTGAAATAAAGACGGTTTATATTTAAATTTTCTTTTATCCGTTTTATATTCATGTGGAATATGGTGGAAGGTGGTATTATATACAATACTAGCATCAACGTAGAGAGTATAGTGATCTAATTTTCATATTAGATTAAATCATAAAGGTGCAGTATTTGCAATGCTTGCATTCCGCAATATCAACTTTAAATCTGGCATCAACCATGAGATATTTTCTTGCATACTATTGAGTCACTCATGCATTTGCCAAATGACTGAAATGATTCAAATGAGATGCATTTTTAGATTCTATGGCCTTGCACGTAGTAGCAACGTGAGATGATTAAAAAATAAAATGTATTTAATATATTTTAAACTTCTAAAAACATGCCATATTATTCAATTTGATTTTAAACATATCTATAGATTTCAGTTTTAAATCCTTTTGAAATTTTTGATTGTGAATATGGAAGAATTGAATAATGTAATAATTAAGTATAGTTAGTTTGATTATGGTTAGCTTTCACTATATGAGACTTTTACTTAAACTCTTTTTGGTACACAAACAAGACTTTGAGTAAAATCAAGGTGTTGTTCACTTAGGCGAAACATATTACTTGCTTTGTATACTCTTTTTGATGATGATGTCTCAAACATTTCCATGCAATTTTTGATTTGAGCTCATTTATATCCACACTATTTTATTTATTTCTCCATAGAAGCAATTTTATACTTCTTAGTCTATTTTTGATTTGGTCATCAATATTGGTTTTAGATGTGTGACAAATGTTTTTGACTCTTTTTATGTTGCTCATCATGCTCCGATTTCATATTAACGGATTAATATACGATTTAATTTATTGATTGTTCCAAAAATAATGCAGATCATTTAGAGATTGTATGAAAGAACTACCAAAACAACTTTGTTCACACTTTCAATAGCTTGCTTCATGTCATCATCTTTAATTAGTTAGAAGTGGTATAGAGTTTACTCAAGATGAAATTATAGTTACTTTAGATTGCATTAGTCATAGTTATCATGTCGGCAATTTGTGTGTTTAATAGATAAAGAGTAAGTGTGTTATTTGACAACTCCATGTCAATGATATGTATGATTATTCGATAAAGATTAAGTGTGTTTCTTGGTGCGTTAGATAACACACATATAAAAAATTTGTGTGTTTGTTAAAATTATCTGTCATGTCATCCATTCACTAGGAATGAATGAATAGTGAAATGAGATTTTTTTTCTTTGTACTTGTTGATAAGATCTACATAAAACTGAAAAAAATATTGTTAGTATATTTCATATTCATCTTCAAGTAAGTTTTTTTTCTAAATAACATTGTAGCACCATGGTGTTACAATAATATTAAAACAAATTTTCTTTTTTTCATGAATGTGGATTACAGCTGATGGAATAGCAAATTGGTGACGATAGAATGTATAAAGATTGGTAAAGTTTATTGATGTGTATGTAGAGATAGGGGAAAAAGAGAAATTGTGGTTTTGCAATATGAAATACTTGATAAGAATTCAATATTGTACTTGTAGATTCATAACCTATGTGATATACATTTTCATTAGAGGGAGAAACATCAATTTTTGGATGTACTTTATAGCTTGTTGGAGTGCAGATTTATAAATAGAGTGATGAAGTCAAAATTTTCATTTATACTTTTAACATTTAATTAAAGAGAGATTTGGGATTAAACCATATACATTTTATATGGAATGTTTGATAAATTAGAATCCCAAACCATCCGCATGTGTTTGATTTAACATTTATGTAAAAATTAGTTAATATATTGATAGGATAAACTAAGTACAGATTTTTTTATGAATAATTATGGAAAATATCATATCAAGTTTTTAATATCTACGCCTTTTGTGACTACTTTTTTGAGACATTAGATAGTTATTATAATTTTTTTGTGTTAAAGTCAATGTAAAAAAAATTGATACATCGTTCGATATGGGTGAGATTTTCAATACAATCATGGTGGATATGAAAAAATTCAAAAAAGTAATAGTAGATCTACACAACAAACAGCAAGCCATGAAATATAAATTTTTTGTATTGGAGAATGAAAAAATTGAAAGAGTTAAAGAGACGAAAGTTGAACCTCAAGTTTAAACTTTCCAAGTTCAATGTGAATAAATTTCTATTAATGCAGCTAAAGGAAATAGGAGACGTCTTCAAAAGATTAAAGATCAAGCAAATTTTGATATTTAATAATAAAGTATTATAAGGTGGAAATTACAAAGTTTGTAAAACGCTGCGAATTTTAGAAGAATAAATTATGAGGATGAATATTAATTTATTTTATTTTTATGTTTCTTATTTTAATGCAAAAACGTTCATGAACTCTTATCTTACGGATAAGTGTTTTATATGGTACACTACATGGGAACAACTATTTTCACAACAAGATGTTTTCAATTCATGGAGTGAAATACACGAAATAATTTTAGAAGTAGTTAACTTTTCAAATTGCAAGAATGAGATTATGGGATTTACAACAATAATGAGCTATACTTGAGTACATTGAATAATTTTGTGATACTCGACTTTCTATCATGGATATGAATGGAGTATAAGCCTTGGATATATTCAAAACAATTGTTAATATTATAACAATTGTTAAAATCTTTCATGTTTAATTTATGTTTTCATCTTCTAATGAGCTTCTCTTTAAACCTTAGTGTTACAATTGTCTCCAATATCTAGATGTGAGATTTGGTGAACAGAGATTCCAAATTTACAAGAAAAATATGTAAATAATGAAGTGATTTGAGGAGAAACTGGAGTCGATGATAATTTTTAATGTTATGCATGCAAATTACATCACAAATGAATTACATTGCCAAGTTCTACGGACTTCTACCGACATCACAAGAAGTACGGCTCATACAATGACAACATTTCAACATGTAAGAAACATGGTTTAAGGAAGTTGAGGAGTAATTTTGGAAAATAGTGATCAGACCGCGAGGTATGGTTACATTCATATGTAACAATACCGTTTTATAAAGCAAAGAAAATGCAAGATTGAAAGAAAAAAATGATTTGGATCTGTAGGAAATAATAAAAAAACAAGCTCAATTTACTCTCACAGATGGTTTAAAAGAAGTACATATGATGAGAGTTTTGATTGATATTCAAATGACATAAATAGTATTAGTCACAAAATGTTGTTATGAAATTAGGTGTGATGATGATGAAGTATGTAAGTGATAACATTGAATTGCCAAATGTATAAATTGAAATGATAAAAAATACTATCACAGAGTGTTAGAATAATACATAGATAAATATAAATAGAGCATTGAATGAAAGGTAATTTGTTTAGTTTCATATTTTGTTATCCTTGGAATGTGATAGATGGAGCAATATAATCGGGAGATACATTGAAGAAAAAAAAAATATAATACATAGTGGTTAGAAGATCTATGAAGATAGAATTAGATCTCAAAATAGAAATTAATCTCTCTTTGATGAGTAAAACATACAATTCTCACCAATTGACTTCAAATCGATTGATGAAACAAGATGACACATGCCACAAAAGAATCTGAAAATATCATGAGATCACTACAAGTTGGAAGTACAAAGAATACAAGAATTTGACTATCTACAAACAATGTATATGACATCCTCAATACCAAGATTTACTCACAACAATTTTATCAAAATATCATGATACAATCATTGCAAGTCATGTGAGAGTGGAAAGATCTTGAGAGCATACAACAAATTTAACTTTGTTCCAAACTACGAGAGTATATGGAGATTTATGTTCAAAATTATGTTACTTGTCAACAAATCAAATCAAATAATAAAAAACAAGCCAAGTAATAAAAAACCAATTGGTTTTTTACCATGTCTCCCTATTATTGAACATCAATATAAACATATCATCATTGATTTTGTATGTGAATTATCAAAAACTTTGTTAGCTAAAAAGATTTAGTGATGATTTTTATGTACAAATTGAGCAAGCTGATTCATATCATGCCAAACACAAAAATAGTGACAGTTTTAAAATTTACTCAATTGTACTTAAATCTCGTTTATGTGAATCATATATTAAACAAAGTATTAATCACGGATAGAAATATTCATTTCACTACACCGAGTACAGTAATTAGTCTGGACCAGACTAATTTTGAACATGAATTTTTGTGATGCCAATCATAGATTAGTCTGGATCAGACTATTTAGTAATCCAGACTATTTGTGTGCTTCAAAAAAGAATCTGGACCAGACTAATACAAAATATTCCAAAATAGTATGGATTAGAGAAATAAATTCAAGAAACGCAAAGAGTGAAGTTTATTTTTGATCATGCGTATCCATCAAGGTCCTCTCATTTTCAAATCGGGTACGATTTCCCCATCAAAGTGGTTGCGATGTTTCATTATGATTGCATGTAAGTCCGACGTTAATCGTTTCATATGCCATTCTACTCTCACATCAAGTGCCAACCCACAACGAATCATGGCTTTTTGAG